AACCTCCCAACCGTAACCTCCCGTAACCTCCCGTAACCGTAATCTCCCGTAACCTCCCGTAACCGTAACCTCGCGTAACCTCCCGTAACCTCGCGTAACCTCCCGCAACCTCCCGTAACCGTAACCTACCTAGCAATCTCCTGAATCTCTGGAATCTGTAGAATCTAAGTATCCAGGAACCTCCCGTAACCTCCCGTAACCGTAACCTCCCGTAACCTCCCGTGACCTCCCGTAACCTCCCGTTACCTCCCGTAACCGTAACCTCCCGTAACCTCCCGTAACCTCCCGTAAACTCCCGTAACCGTAACCTCCCGTAACCGTAATCTCCCGTAACCGTAACCTACCTAGGAATCTCTCGAATCTTTGGAATCTGTAGAAGCTAAGTATCCACGTAACCTCCCGTAACCGTAACCTCCCGTAACCGTAACCTACCTAGGAATCTCCCCAGAATCTCTAGAATTTCTAGAATCTAGGTATCCCGTCCTCCCGTAACCTCCCGTAACCTCCCGTAACTAAGCTAGAACCTGAGTCTAGAATCTCTAGAATCAAAGGAATTTCTAAAATCTCCAAATTCTCTAGAAACTCTAAAATCTGAGGTTCTCGTAACCTCCCGTAACCTCCCGTAACCTTCCGTAACCTAGCTATAGAATCTGAGTGAAGAATCTCTAGAATCTCTATAAATCTGCCGAACCCGTAACCTCCCGTAACCTCCCGCAACCTCCCATAACCTTCCGTAACCTTCCGTAACTTCCTGTCACCTCCCGTAGACTCCCGTAACCTCCCGTAACCAAGCGCGATTCTGAGTCTAGAATCTATATATAGAATCTCTAAAATGTGAAGACCCCGTAACCTCCCGTAACCTCCCGTAACTTCCCGTAACCTCCCGTAACCTGCGATTAATTTTGAAATATATATATATATTATATATTTAATATAATATATATATATAATATATATACAACTCTTCTGCGCTTGGAATGACCTGGTTTATGCGTGCTTAGTGACCCCAACTTTTGCGCTATTAATGACCCAAATTTACGCGCGCTTAATCCACAGTCTCCTTGGGCGTCTCGTCCATTCCACTGCTCAAGCTGCTGCAGCAAAGCGGCACGGATTTCCGCGTTGTCACTAGCACAGCCTTTGGCATTTGGAGAAAACTGGCAGATGCTGGGGAGAATTTTGATTTGGTGACCACCATTGAGTCCACAAACTACAGCTGGTGGGAGTCTGAGTTCAGCAGATTGGTAGTTTGTTTGTGTTTGTTTCATCTTCCCACCTTTATTAGGCTGCTTCTTTTGATTTTAAAACCATTTAGGGGTTTGCAGCAAGGACTACGACTATGACTTCCCCTTCTACACAGCTCGCTCTTACTACGAAACTCTCAATTTGCTTCTGGTTTAGTTGCGACCGCGGTTGTAGTATCCTTTTCCTATGTTTTCTTCATGGGGGCACAGTCATCAACAGGATGTAGCCGGGGGGTCAAGACTATTTATCTAGATTTATACTCGTTTTCACGTTGCGTTCATTGATGGCCCCAACATTTTGGCTCACAATTACTGGTGCAGATAGATAGACTAAGATTGGATTAGGGTTCTGGGCACGCGAAACAGAGGAGTGTCTCCACTTCAGGAGAAGTTGCTTGCAGAGTTGACGCCAGAGCTAAACGATCGGGTCCAATACGCAGAGGTCTCCTGTGTGGAGGAGAAAAATGGGAAGTATCGTTTCTTGGCTAATTTTTTTTGGAACATACTTGACTTGAAGAAGTTGCTTTCAAGAAAGTCCAACCTGAAGGTAATTACAGCCAACCAATCACCCATCTCAACCCCATCAGCTTTTCGTTCCCACGTGCTTTTTGGGAAAGTGAAGATCTACAAGATGTAAATCCGTTGAGACTTTTGTGAAGTGTGGTTGGCAAAGCTTTGCAGGTCAGCCGGTGTTCAAAGGGTCGAAGGTTCTATCACCTGGATGCAACGCAGAATATTTATGAATATTTGTTTTCAGGTCAAGAAAGAGAAAGCGATGGCAAAGTATGCTTAGTCTATGGTTAGCTTACCGCAACTGAGTCCAGTCCAAATCCAGTTCCATGGCTGCTCAAAGCTTTCATGACTTGCAATCCAAGACAGACATAGACAGACTGGAATTTAGCATTGTTGTGCAAGCCAACTGAGGCATATTTGGAAAAGATGGAGAGCTTTTGGTCTCAAGCTCCCAGCTGGTTCATTCGGTAGGTTTCTCACCTGACAAGAACATTCTGCCGAACTTGAGCCGAATAGCGGAGGCTGGCGATGGTGGCAAACACTTTCTGGTGTTTGGGCTCCCAGGCATACAATTAGAGCCTATCTCCAATGGCCCAATCGACTAATCTTGGGTTGCATTGAACCATATTGAAATCATGATATATATATACACATATTTATACTATGAAATTCCCCTCAGATGGTTAGTTCAGGGATCGTTTATTACTGGGTTTACCACATTAGGAACTTTGTTTTGCGCAACTTTTGTCACTTGTCCAGTTCTCATGGCCCAGGTTTAGTGACACGACCAATCTGTACATCTCGCGTCTGGTCCATGCTGGTCACCGCGTGACCTTGGCATGTCGGCACTTCCATGTGGTTGACAAAATCGGCAGCACCCATGGTGACTCGGAAGTGCTGGCTGTACCTCCTTGTCAAGAGAATCGTAATTGGGTGCAACTTGCAGTTCCAGACCAGTGGCAGGGATTTGTTATGATTTGAAATGTTCAGAAGGCCCAGCACACTGAAGCAGTTTTGCATATTAAATTACATATCAATGAGGCAAATCAACACGTCCATCTACTTTACGGTTTCTCAATGCTTGTCACATTCGGCGGCACTGCTAGATCAAGATGGTTTCGAATCGAAGACGTCAAACACGTCTTGCATAATGCCATGCCCTCCGGCATCCGCCACATCATGCCACATCATGCCACATCACTGAGGAAATGTCGGAGGTCCCTTTGACCAATATGAACCCATGCAACACTGGACTGGTCGAAGTCTTCCACTCAACGTCACAGGCCAGATTCTGCCAGCAGGGCATGGCATTCACAAATCAACTGATTGGTCAAAACTTCAAAGAACAAATGGATGTAGAATAGGACTGTGGCTTGGGACAGTAAGCCAAATAGCATCTATAATGACAGAGTTGTGAAATCCAAGAAATTATTTGAAATACTTCGTAGACAATTCAGCTAGAACATGACCACATGATTCCTTCAGCTCAGTATGTTGCCCAAGTTTTGGCTAAGCCACATTACACGGAGAGAAAGAGAGAGGGCACGAAATGGCACGAAGAAATGACAGGAAATGATGAACACCAAGGCCAAGGATAGATTCCTGTCCTTCCAAAGAAGTTTCACTTGGCCCTTGCAAGGTATCTTGGGGCCTTTGCCCATCAAAGGGGCCAAGGTGGGAAGTCCCTCTTGGCTTGCTGGAAAGATCACGTCATATGTGGCGAACTTGGTGGGTCTCAACGAGGTCGTGGACCTTCGAAAGTTCGATGCTTAGCAGCGGTTTGAGCTGAAGTCGTCACCCTACAACAATCCTAGATCTCTATCCTGGTGATGACGGTTGATTGCTGGTCTCTCCTACAACAATCATGGCTTTTGCTGGGGACCCCTTGTAGCTTGGGAAAAGTTTTTGGTTGAGTTGTTGCTTCAGGAGGAATGGCAGCGTAATCACAGAAGCAGTAGATAATTAAAAACATGATTATATTTAATTATATTTAATTATAGCTATACAACTGAGTCCTGCATAGGGAGATGGGATGATTTTTAGTTACGCATGTGGGTCCATGGCTGATAGTGCAAGAAATGGCAGATTGGCTTACAATGAGTGTGCGGTGACTCAGTGTGGCTGCGCTCATTGGCGCTGAGGATACGAAATTTCAGCACAAAGCCGGTGGACTTGTGACAGTTGCTTGACGAATTTCTTAGTTGTTGGATGTTGTTGGGATATGTTGGGATTGAAGTCGTTTTCCCTGGGAATCAAGCGGAAACAAGCAGTGATAGTCCTGTCGACACCTTTGGAAGATTTGTCTTCTGGAGCTGTTTTTGGAGCTTTCAACGGACCGAGGATGGCAAGATGGATGTTCCTGGGGGTTTGGGCTATTTAGTGAAGCAGTGGCCAGTGGACGAGTATGTTCGCTTCTACAAGCAAGAAAAACATCAGAAGCAGATGCTGGAGGAGCGAGTTCTATTGAACGACATCTATTTCTTCATACAGCAGGGACTGGTGAAACTGTATCATCGTGATGAAGTCCAACATGTTTCTGGAAAGAAGTATCGTCTGGGGGAGAAAGGTGCTCTGTCGAATTGCAGGGAACAACAGAATCAAACGATAGCAAAAGTACTTTACACCTCCAATGGATCCCCCACAACGATTTTCCTCTTTCTATCTCTTTCTCATCCATTCGCGGGCTTTCATGCCACCTTCCAAGAAAACCACCCTTTCTCAGGCGACGAGGTGGAATTTGACGAGGTGTTGACTTGCCAGGAGGCCAAACACAACACGCTGCAGATGCAGAACTGCCCAAGTTACTGCTACACAGATCACATCTTTGGCATTTGGAAGCAGAGCCAGCCGAATCTCTATTTCCTAGGAACCACTCGGCCATACACCGGCGCATTCGGATGCAACCTGACATTTGTCATCGTTTTTTTCTTTGCTCTTACTAGTACTTGTAGTTTTCAAGAAGGATTCTGTTGCATGATATGTAATTATTGATATACTATTTTGGTTTCACATTGAGTCTCACGTGTGCCAGCAGAGGTATTGCAGAAGTGAATGCCATGTTCTGCCATAGGATGCTCACTGATGCAAAGTTTCAGCAAGAGGTCTCTGATCAGTTTCCTGCTTACATGCACCGGCAAAGAGTCACACACTATGTTCAAGCCTCTGAACCAGACAAGCTACACGTTCATTGGGCTGGCATGCACCCTCGCACTTGCTTGAGAACATTTTTTATTTCAAATGAGATGTTACATGTGTGTTCCAATCAAATTTGCTTGAAGACTGTTGCACTATAGAGAAAACATATGTACTGTATCTGTATAGATATATACCATGTTATAATATAATGCTGGAGGCCATTGTGTGTATTATAGGAATTATAGGTATCTCGTAGTAGACGTCATTGTCTGGCTGTGCGCCTGTGAACTGCCCAAACGAGGCACATCCTGCGTGTGTCGCAGGTCTTAGGATGCGAGCTGACCCAAAAAGAGGCCACACGACAGGGACTGGAGAAGGAATGGATGACAGGCCCCATCAATGCACTTCGATGTCGCATCACGGGTCCCTATGCCTCAGCTGATGCTGCTGAAAGATACAGGAAATCCTGTGAAAAGCTCGGGACCAACTACATGTACCTCAATATGATCTATCGAATTTGGGGGGATCCTTGACTGCAAAAGTGAATTTGCTCGAGGTAGGCTTAGGGTGGAAATTTGAGATCACAATGCATGCCCAAACTCACATGCAAATCATGCAATCTCGCACCACTCTTTGGGTATTGACCATAACAGCATGTCTCATGCACAGGATTCATTGGCCTGATCTCCACCAGACCTAGGCATGTTTTGGCAGAGTGCTATGGAGATTATGGAGTGGCCAGTCAGATCACCAAAAATCCAGCCCAAAAAACAGGATCTCTTCAAATGCTTGTGAGTACTTCACCTTGTTTCTCTTATTTTGCAACATTTTTGTTTTACAGAAACATCAGCTGGTTGGTGGTTTGGAACATTTTATATTTTTCCATATATTGGGAATATCATCATCCCAACTGACGAAGTCATATTTTGGGTGAGTGGGTTGAGACTCCGAGGATCGTTTGGTGGTGGCCAGCTGGCTCTTGACTCTTCTGCTCCATGGTGGGATGACATGGCAGGGCATGGGCCCAGTGGAACAAGCGGTGACCCTTGGGGCCAGCTATTTCTTGGCCACCACATCAACAGCCATGAGCCAAATTCGTGGCTCCTTGCCTTGTAATGACTTTCTATGAACTATGAACATCTATGAACTATAACTATACAATACTACTGTGTACATATAGGATCATATAGGAATTTTATGGCATTTTGAGGGTTGGCGAAAGAATTTATGTTCTTTTTTCCCCTGAAACAAGGAGAGAACACCTGCAGAAAATGCACATCAGATCTCTTCTAACCCTTTGACTCCCTTTGACTGCCAGTCAGGTTACATGCTGATGTTGGCCTTTGACAGCCTCTATCATTCGCGTGCGTGGGTGATGCTGTTGCTCAACGTTGTTCAACTTCTCTTCAGCATATTCTGCCTTGTGCAGGGAACGGCGTTTGGACCCTTGGACGCTATCAGTGTCAATCGTTTGCTCAGCAGACAATGAAATTGTCTGAGGTGCAAAACTATCCTCACGAATCCGAGGGTCACACCGTGTGCATGCATCTTTACCCAAATGCATTGCCTTGCCTCTTCACTGTTCCAAGACCAAAACATCCGTTCGGCACGAATCTTCTAAATGATTAAATGTGTTCATACAGTGCGACGCGAACAGCATGACAGTTAGACTTGGACGGGCTCTTTGATATCTTTTGATGAAAAATCCCATTCCAAGGAGTGCCATTGCTGGTCCGTTTGGGCGTTGTCACTGATGGAGTGTTCTTTGTCCTGGGCTACTTGAGCTTTCCGCGAGCCTTTTTCGGAGACATGCGCGCAAGGTCGCCTCACAAGCAGTGGCTGTTTGACACCTACTTGAAGCGGCCAAAGACCCAATGAGCGCGTCCAAAAATAGAGTGCAGTAACTGTGAGACTTGTCACAGGGCTGTGGGTGTTTTTGGTCTCCATACTCCTATGTATTCATAGCTTGAGGAATAATGCGGAAAATCTCAGAGAATGAAAAGCGGATGAAAACCGCATATGCGCTCTGAAGCTCGTGTGTTTTGTCTCTTCTGACAGGTGGTGGCCACAGGCATCCAATCGGTGGCTTCGGTCATGGAGTTGGCGCTTCACAACGCAGGTTGGGTTTCCTGACTGGTCTGGAAATGTCTGGAAGAGTTCCCTTGATTTGGGAAGGGAAAATAAACACCATACAACATCAATAGACATTTGAGGACATAATCATACAGAATCCCTTCCCCATTCTTCCCCCTGCTACATAATTCATCATACTTCATCATAATTCTAGAGAATACTATATTAATTAATGCATGCCACCCTAAAAACCCTGGTTCACTATTTGATCTGTTGGTTTTTAGGGACCATCTTGGGGGGGAGTATTTGAAATTAGGGGGATGGGGTTAGATCATGTGAAGGCTTGAAGCGACTTGGCCAAATTTCTGGCGTCAGTAAAGTACTTATTTGTTTGACAATAAAAGACAAGGTACTGCTATTTAACAACTTGCTATTTCACACGTAGCAACATGTCCAGAAAGCTTTGCATGCAGATGTCGACATAGTATGGTTTATATAATGGTTATATGATTATGGTTTGTCCAAGTTTGTTTCCAAGCGCCTCGGTGCAGATGACTACCCCATCGAGTGGAAGATTCAGACAGACTCTCTGGGGAAGTTCAAGGGAGTCGACGCCTCAGCTGGGCGAAGATTTTGGAAGCAGTTGAGAGGTTTCTAAAATGGAGGACACATGAGGAGCCTATGATCATGATCCCAACTTGCTGACATGGAAATCAATGAATCAATGGTTGGGTGATCCCAAACTTGATTTTTCCCGAGAGCGCCTGCGAAGGGTTCTTCGTAAAAAAGCAGCCGTTATACTACATCTTCACACCTTCACATCTGCAGATCTAGATCTTCACACCTTCACACCTGCAGATCTAGATCTTCACACCTTCACACCTTCACACCTGCAGATCTAGATCTTCACACCTTCACATCTGCTGATCTAGATCTTCACACCTTCACACCTGCAGATCTACATCTTCACACCTTCACATCTGCTGATCTACATCTTCACACCTTCACACCTGCAGATCTAGATCTTCAGACCTTCACACCTGCAGATCTAGATCTTCAGACCTTCACACCTGCAGATCTAGATCTTCACACCTTCACACCTGCAGATCTAGATCTTCACACCCTCACATCTGCAGATCTAGATCTTCACACCCTCACATCTGCAGATCTAGATCTTCACACCCTCACACCTGCAGATCTAGATCTTCACATCCTGACACCTGCAGATCTAGATCTTCACACCCTCACATCTGCAGATCTACATCATCACACCCTCACATCTGCAGATCTACATCTTCACACCTTCACATCTGCAGATCTACATCTTCACACCTTCACATCTGCAGATCTCCTCTCGCTCTTCTTCTATTCTCTCTTAAGGCGGGGGCGGTGCCGCCGGAGCGCCACGAAACGCAACCCTTTCGCACGAAATGGACGTTGGACGTCCAAAAACTAGGTAAAATTGCGATTTTGAAGCGTCCCCGGCAACCCTTTCGCACGAAATGGACGTTGGACGTCAAAAACTGAGGAAAAGTTGCGACTTTTATCCGTCGCGCGCAACCCTTTCGCACGAAATGGACGTTGGACGTCAAAAACTGAGGAAAAATTGCGACTTTGAGTTGTCAATCGCAACCCTTACGCACGAAATGGACGTTGGACGTCAAAAACTGAGGAAAAATTGCGACTTTGAGGTGTCAATCGCAACCCTTACGCACGAAATGGACGTTGGACGTCAAAAACTGAGGAAAAATTGCGACTTTGAGGTGTCAATCGCAACCCTTACGCACGAAATGGACGTTGGACGTCAAAAACTGAGGAAAAATTGCGACTTTGAGTTGTCAATCGCAACCCTTTCGCACGAAATGGACGTTGGGCGTCAAAAACTGAGGAAAAATTGCGATTTTACTTGGTCAATCGTAACCCTTTCGCACGAAATGGACGTTGGACGTCAAAAACTGAGGAAAAATTGCGATGGACGCTTTCGTTTCTGTACAAGTGTCTGTGTGGAAAAGCGTCTGTGTGTAAAAGTGTCTGAGTGTAAAAGCGTCTGTGTGTAAAAGCGCCTGTATGTAAAAGTGTTTGCGTGTAAAAGCGTCCGTGTGTAAAAGCGTATGTGTGTAAAAGTGTTTGTGTGTAAAAGCGTCTGTGTGTGAAAGGGTCCGTGTGGAAAAGCGTCTGTGTCTGTGTGCAAAAGCGTCTGTGTGTAAAAGCGTTTGTGTGTGAAAGTGTGTGTGCGTCTGTAAAAAGGCATCTGCATGTAAAAGCGTGTGTGTGTGTGTGTAAAAGAGTCTGTGTATAAAAGCGTCTGTGTGTTAAAGTGTTTTCGTGTAAAAGTCTCTGTGTGGAAATGCGTCTGTGTGTGTGTGTGCATGAAAAACGTCTCTGTGTGAAAGCGTCTGTGTGTAAAAGTGTTTATGTGTAAAAGATTCTGTGTGTAAAAGTGTCTCTGTATAAAAGCGTCGCGTTTCTTCGCGTTCACGGAATGATGGTGCCGCGCCTTTTTCCGCAATGTGTGTGGGAATTACCATAATAAAATGAGATAGCACATGTCATTCGCAGACTCATGGCACTGAGCCTCCTGTGCACTTTTGTTGCTCACATTACATTTCTCCATGTTTTCTTTCTACCCCACCCCTTTCATCTCTCTCTCTCTCTTGCTTTCTCTTTCTCTCTCTCTCTCTCTCTTTATCTCTGCCCCCTCTTTCTCTCTTTCTGGTTGCAAGACACATGTCATCTGATGCCCTTTACCAAATATTCTCTTCTTGATCAATCTTACTTTTTCACATCATATTTCACATCATATCTTTCCATAGCTCATATAAAATTCTCCAACTATTCACCGACTATCTTTTACGACTACCATCCTCAGAGCTGCTTGAAAAACATTTTTTTTCGCTCTCGGGCCAACCGTCGTCTAGTTTTTAGACCCCAATCACACATTGAACGCTGAGGTCTTCACGGTGGATCCGCAGTCGGGAATTCTACATCCGGCACAGGATCGCGGTTTTGGCCAAAGCCCACATGCTGACATTCTGCCCTACTAATATGCTAGAAAGCAAGAGTGACATGGAGCATCTTGATGCATTTTGATCTACTTTGAATACCAGTCCAATAGGAGTGAATGAAGAGTTTGTGAAACTATCTGTGGCCATTTCTTGTCATACATTGAAGCAGAAAGAAATGCATTCCAACCTTGCCAAGCAGGGAAATCAAGCAATCATGTTTGGCAGGACTGTTTGGTTAGAGCTGCTTTCTTGCCCAACGAGCCTATCGAGTACAAGGCGAAATCTGATTCAACTCAACTTCCCTTCGGCCCCTTCGGTCCACGTTGTAGTGTATGAATGTATGAATGTATATGGTGTGTTGGCAGTCTCCTGTTGCATCAGCGTGTTTTGATGGGTATCTGTAGGGAATCGGTCCAAAATTTGAAAATCACGGATCCTGAACTGGAGCCATCAAGTATCACACACCAACCTCTGTGACGTGAGTTTGGGATATTTTGGAGCTCTTCAACATTCTTCAACACTAAGCCATAGAAAGCCATAGAGATCATAGAGGTCCAGTGACATCCAACTGCCAGGCAAATGTGAATGTCTACATCTCACCACCCAGGACAGTGGCGGATGCAGGCCTCGACCGCCATGTCAACCATGCCATGCTCCAGGAACAGCGGAATGTAGCGAGTCTGAGCATTCAAACCAGTTCAACCTCAGTACTGAAAGTGCTGTCAATTTGGCAATTCCTTGGAGTATCTTGGATTTATATACGATATTTTTTCGCAGATCACTGAGATTGCTGTGACTCCTTTCAAATGAACCCATTCTGCAGTGAATTTTGTCGCTTCGGAAACTGCATGGAAACTTGCCAGCGAGCCAGGAAAGAACTTGGATCCCAGCCTCGCTTTGAATGCGGATGAGAGCCCCTTGGACGGAACGGTCCTGGGTGATGAGCACAGGCCACACATTCTGTTGAAAGCTCTAGATGCTCTTTGTTTGAGCAGTTTTGGGCGTTTTTACTTTGTTGCGTACTTAGTGACTTAGTGATACGAGAAGCCTTTCCAACGACCATTCAGCCCTCCAGCAACTGTCCTTCCTCCAGTTCATTACGGTTGCACGCCCCAGGCAAGCCCTACTTGTCATTGCGGATGAAGGGCCAGGGCACTGTTCCAAAGCTGACCTTTGACCGTCGGGAGATTGTGTTGCCGAGCCTTGCATGAGATGTGAATGGTGGGAGCGGATTTGATCGGTGGCTTGGATAAGTTTGAATAAGTACTGACAGTCAAAACATGTCAAAACCTATAAACATCTATAAAACCTGCAATATATGTGGGGAGATGAACATCCATTTACCAGATATTTTGGGGTTCACCGGGGTACTTAGGTCCTAGGTCTCGACCCATACCGGTACCAATATTTCACAAGCATTGATGCCTTGATGTTGTAGGTACAGTAGGTTGCGAAGGCTCTCAATTCTTTTCAGTTTTGTTGCGAGTATCTTTGACAGAGAAGCATCAAACATGTATATGATAGTGCAGCAGTGCAGCGGACTCCTGATTTTGATTCCTCCTCTATGTCGGTAATCAGCTACATACTTTACAGTCCAGAAGTTTCAAGGAGATGTTCTAGGCAGAGAAAATGACAGGTTCCAAGCTTGTCAAGGCATAAGAAGCACAGTCATAATCATCCCAAACTAATTCGAATCAGTACGAGTGAAGGCCCAATATCAGCCGTTTACAGAACTATCATGATATGATACATGCGAAGAATTGCTGTACGTGCTTGTGGTGCACAGCGCTCTGCATCAGGATTGTTCCTTTGGGCATCCGCTCAAGGTACTTTGGGCTGGAGCTAGGGAGCAAGGGAGCTAGGGGGCTATTGCGCAGGACATGTTCCAGACCTTTTGGGCATATCATGATCTGATCATATCTGATCTAAGTCTAAAGTTAAAGGCTTCCTTTGAAAGCAGGATGGCTAGGCATGCCAGACTCCAGTTTTGCGGCCGAATTACGTGGCAGCACCCTGAAGCTTTAGGTGCTTGTTCTACATCATCAACGAAGGTTATGAGAGCCTGGACGTGCAATACAGGTGGGCCACGGGCCACATGCGGTCCTATTGTCTTGGCGCACGTCATTGAATTGGACATCCCGAATCCCGTGCGCAGAAAAATCAGAAAACTGACAGCCCCAACAATTTGCCACAGCCGATTCCAGCATCAAAACGCCAACTGCAGGTTGCCCAACGACCAGATTCGAATACCTCTGACGATCAATTTCCCGGAGGCGGGCAGCTGAGAAAGGATTGCAATTGTACAGATCCCAGAATGACCTGCGCGCAGGGTCAGCAGATTGGCATCACCAAGCCCAAGATTCCAGCAACTTGGCTGCTGTGATCTTTGAATCTGGGATAGAATGGCAGTGGGTTAGAAGGAATTAACTGCAAATGTTTCTTGCTTACATGGAGATTTCCTAAAATATAGGTACCCACAAACAAGAAATATTGGATGATTTTGGGATTTTGGGTACCCCCATTTTAGGACACCTCCACATCAAGATCTACTTACCAGCTCATCAGACCATGGAGCCTCCCAGGTTGAGATCTTCTTCCAGTCCAACAAGCCGATCTCATTCTGTGCAAAGTTTCTTGGCTCGCGGATTTGCATCCTTTGGGTTTCTTGCTTTCATGTTTGTTTGTTCCCGCTACGTTGAACGATGTTGAACGCCAGGCCATAAAAAAGCCCTCTCCATAAGTTGCCTAAGGCCTCCAATGGTCACTTCAAGTAGCTGAGCAAAAGTGATTGAGCTGGCAAGCCAAGGATCGAATTCCTGGACACTGAGTCAGGCAACCGGTGGTGCCATTTGGTGATCTTTGTTCTTAATCTACTGCAGATACGTTTTGCCAGTCATTTTGCCCACAAAGAATTGACATTCCCGTGCCTTTGATAGAATCGTAATCTATTTCTAGAAAGATTATATAGAAAGGATCTTCTGAACGCAGTAGATGACTGGAATGGACCTTCCACGGGTTCTTCCAAATGCCCAGTGGCACCATTTATGTTGGACTCGCATTTGCCTATCATCACCTCCTGTTATAGTTTGAGTGAGAGCACTGATTGCAGTCAGTCCCTTCATGTCCCTTCAAACCGGAAGTTTTTAAATGTTGGGAAGACATGGTAAGAATGCGGCTAGATTCTCAGCAATGCCGTCTGAGCACTACCAGGTTCGTATGTTTTGCCAGTCTCGGGAACCACGGAGAACTGCATCCTCACTTGTGGGAGCCTGAAGCCATTGGAAGGAGTGAACTGTGAAAGGTTTGTCCCTCAAGGAGGATCCTGGGCCATGACGTTGAGAAAGATTGAGACGTTAATTGTTTAGTAGTGAATTGAACATCTCCAAAGCCAACTGCACAAAGAGGCACGTCTTACTATATCGCTAGGTTGACAGTATTTGGCACTCCTGGAGCCATATTCCGAATTTGCTACAGGGATTCACAATGGCAATCACCATCTCTCACCCGTATTGTTGTTTTTCTATGATTGGCCAAAGCTCAAGAAACTTGTAAGTGTTTCATCAAACAAAGAGCCGCGAAGCTCTGTGACTTACGAAGGCCATCACTACTTGCACAACAACACAGACTTCTACACACTGGAGGGTGAGCCGGCGGCCTCCTTAGTGATGGCCAAAAAAAGGTGTTTCTGATGCAGTGATGGGTCAAAATCATAAACGAATATATGATATATATATAATTATATATATATTATATAAAAGAACCATTTGCATAGGATGTACATTGAATCATTCAGCGCTACCAGCTATCAACTGGTGTTAAGCAGGGTAACAGGGTGAACTTATCCACATCCAATGGGGAATTCAAACTGCACAACATGACAGAACTTAAAAAATCAGCCTCGACAACTGGTGAAACACAGCAGTTGAGTGCGAGGTCATGCTGCAAGAGAAGGAGGACAACGGTGGGAAAATGGTGGGACCTTGAGAATGCATGTGACAGTAGAACATAGTAAAACACTGGAAATTTTGGGACGATGGGAATAGATATGAACAGATACGAATAGATAGGAATAGATATGATAATTCTGAGTGAATATGAATAGAACATATTTTTGAATACTGCAAGCAGCCTCTCATCAGCTACATTTTTTTTTCTTCACCAGCCCAGTACTCCAGGACAACTCAGGGAATGAACAGGGAGCAGCTCCATCCATCAAAACCGGCAGCGTATCGCACAACTCCGTTGCGGGCTATGGAAATCAGGACCTTTTTTTTCGTAGTGCTGGGGAGCCCGCCGTGGAGAAAGCTGATGGCCAGGTTTTTTTTGAAAATAAGGACTATTGAAAATCGAATGACATTTATCACGCACATATGGATTTGGAATGATTTGGATATGATACGAGTATTGAACGTTGATGATTGATTTGTAGTGGAAGTGTTGAACTGTTGATTTTCAGGTGATTTGGGTATGATATGTTTGGGAGGTTTGCACGCGAAAAGCCCGATAGGGTGAAAAAGGGTTATACCGTTATACCTGGAGGACATGAGTCAAGCCGACTTTCTGGTACGCTGGTTGAACAGTTCCTTGTCTGGAAACCGTGGAGGGGATGGGTCACCAATGATACCACTCGGAGGAGGTGAACACAGTGGACTTCACATGGGTCCATACTTCCATACTGTAGCCACCTAATCGTTCCGAAGATGTTCAACAATTCGCCAATCATTTTCAGCCATTAATAATCATTATATAATGATCATTAATATCCATTCATTGCATATTATCGCGGGTTACCATAGTTCAATTGTTTAAGGCCTTTGCATGCCTTTGCTATTTTCCAGTGCCCTTGAGGCAACATCCTCAAGATGCAGCTGGATCATTTCCCACAGGTGCCACTTGGGCTTTTGTTGTTATGGGACTGAAAGTCACAGAAAGTCCTGCTCAATCCTTCGCATATGTTGAAGCGCTTTCTTGCATCGGGGTAGGATTGGAAGTGTTTGTGAATTATCATCGAACGAAACTGCATGGAAGAATACTTGTTTGTGCATGCAAATGCTAGCAAATCCGGGAACTGTACCAATATGTCACAACCCGGTCTCCCAAGGTATCATTCCAACGTTGCTGTTCTGCAGGATCTAGTGAATTCCAACGGACGGCATTTGTATGAGATGATTGAGTGGGCTGCTCAGAGCGGACAAATGCGAGCTACATGGACAGAGCGTTTCTATGGCACCAGTTGAAACTGTGTTCGGAAGGGCATAGTTTCATCATTTTGCATTGTTTCTCCAAGAAGCTGGATGAGTGTACCAGTTGTATAAACGGACCTTCCCTTGATGGCGATGAGCTTCGATGAGCTTCTTGCAAGCTGAAAAGCTCAAGGTTTCTGTCGGGCAAATCGGTCTGGGCACTCGGAAGATTCGATGCAAGTGCTTAGTGCGGTGAGGCACCAGAGGCAGAGACACCCAAACTGAGGACATTTAAGGAAGAGCCACAATTGAACGATATGGGTGTGTCTGAAAATGGGGGATACCCCAAGTATATATATATATAATTATACAATATTATACATATATATATATATAGATACATATTATACAGTATATGTAACGATAAAGCAATGTATTTAGGAGTACCCTATTTTCAGACCATCCCATATCATGCCAGTGGCATTGCTGATTTTCCATCCAATCTTCTCCATTGCGCTTGAATATAGTTATAACTTATAACTATAACTACAACTATATAGACCATGACCGTAAGTTTATACAACCATGAACTATGACCATTAACTATAACCATAACTAACGACAACTATAACCACAACTATAACCATAGCTAAAACCATAGCTAAACCATGACTATATAGCCATAACCAACCACAACCAGCCACTACTGTCTCATACTACCCCCACTTTGGGCCGTCGGACTGGCTGCGAGGTGCCAAACAAAGCAGCGGCACCTGCGCCACAGCGGATGGACAACACGGGCTCCTCCTTCCGCGGTAACGACAGAGGCCCAAATGAGCTGAGAGTATCAGAGACATCAGTGGCTATGGCTGGCTATGGGTGGGGCATATTAGATCATATTAGATCATATATTTCATACAATGTATAAACATGTACTATTCTAATCTATTGTTGTATACTACTGTATATCAACATCTATCAATTATATTCGATTGATATACTAAGGTCATGGGCCCCATGGCCTTGTAGATTGTAGATTTCGACCCATTCCGCGGGGATTTACCACGGTACCATGTTTTGGCCATGATTTGACCTTGGTTTATTTGTGGTATAGCTGTTACCCAAAGCTTGATCAACATCACGAGATGTCAGGATTTCTTCAAAATCGACAGGAAAAATATGGACAACTCCTATATTTGATCGTAAAAAGTGGTAAAGACATCCAAAAACATCTAAAAACCATGGTTTCCTATGGATTTCCCGTGCCAACTGGAGAGAAATCGACTCGGGCTGCGCATGGCTGCGCCGTGCGAGGTGCGAAGCAGAAGAGTCGGGAGATGCAAAAGATCCTGCAACTCATGCAGCAGTACGAGGTCCTGGGGATGGAGGAAACACATGATGGCACATGGCATCAAACATCAAGAAGACAGGAAGCGAAAGTTCTGTTTTTGGTGGGGTGGATGGGGGTGGCGAATGTAAAGAAAACCTTTTCGATAAGGTGACGGCCTATATTTTTGCATGTGCTTCAGCGGGCAATCTTCAGCCAGGTGTTGCTGAACTTCTTGAAGCAACATGGGGCTTTGCTGTCCTCAGTTCGCAGGGTTTCCCAATGTATCTCCCATGGCAAGAATTTGGAGTGCCATGAGTCGACCATGCCATGCTTGATAGTCATAGCATGTCAATGTCTGAATTCTTATGATATGTTTACATATTTGCCGATATTGTGTATATAGATGGCAATCTGATGCAATTTCATGATACAGCATCTACACAATCGTTTGGCATGTCGCCACAACTCAGCAGTCACCTTGTAGGCCCTGAACACTTCCTGTCCCATGAGTACTATCTGCAGTACCAGCAGAGTCTCAATGTTGGCATCACACGGAGGCGCGCGGACTCAATTCTCTTGGCACTTGTTGGGTTAGTCCAGAAATGCGGGATTGATTGATCCCCTGCGAAGGCTACGTATTTTAATAGGTAACACGCAGAACAATGGTGATTGACCATCAAATTTGGGGATATGATGGGATATGGTACCGTACCCTATTTTCAGACAAAACCCACTTGGAGTATTTGTAATTCCATTTTCCGTCCTGGAAAAACGGTCTGGAATCGCATCTGGATGTGTTGCTGCCAAGCACTGCACCATATTGTCCCAATGTGTTCACCAAGGCAAGTTGACAAGATGTTCTTCCCCAAGAGCATGGAGGTCAGGTCCCAAGAGGGATCTCAAAGTGGCGCGATGTGCTGCGGCACATGCCATCGGATTTTTGTGATAGAAAGGCTGTTCGATTTGAACACGAAGAGTAGAACTACCTAGTTTTCAGATGCATTGTGGTTTCGAATTAGGGCCTGAAATTATGGATGTCAACAATGACTCCAATGACCCCAATGACCTCATGGTTTTTCGCATGTTTTCCACTTGTTTCTAAGTGGTACCAGCTGGATCTTCATCCCATCGACCAACGGTCATCCAGTAGGGTCCAGCTGGAGGCATGGCTGACCTCCCTGCTGCAGACGGTGAAGATCTTCCTCCTGAACCGAATCACGCACAAGGTGTGGACTCTGCGCGGCACATTTCCTAGAGATCTTTGGAACGTCTTTTTGATTGTGATTCAATGTTATCCATTTGCTACTGGATACTGTAGTACCTTGATTCATTCAACTCACCATCTCCTTTGTTCAATCATGTTCAACGATTCTCACCAGAGAATACCAGAGACACATAGAATTCTGGGGTCTGCCAAGCATGCTAAGCACCCAGTTTTTGGAGAAGGATGCTCGATCTACTCGGGAAGCGTATCTGCAGAAACATGCACGTGGCCTGAGCATGGCATGACATGGCATGACCCAAGGGTCACAAAGGCAGTTCTTCACTCACCAGCGAAGTTCCCCAAACGTTTCAGGACACAGATTGCTCGCAAAAAGGCCCTCACCAAATCAAAGGGAATCCCACTGGTCATTTATGAGCTGATGAATTCTTTTCATGTACTGTACAATTGCAGAGACTTGGAACACCTTCGAAACTGTAGTCAGTACTCATTATTAGTTTTATCACGTTTTCCAATGGCCAGTTCATGAACTATCGCGTCATCCGATTTTGTCAGGATTCCTGAACCTTTCCATCCATATGAACCCAATATACAACGGACTGCTTTGACGATAGATTTGATGATGACATCCCTGCATTTGATGTTAAAATATGGTAAACATATGGTATGGTAAAACATATGATACATTGTAAACATATTGTAAACATACTATAAACTATGATAAGATATGGAAAATTCATGAAAATTCTGGTAAAATCCTATTGAGAAAACTCAGGATTCTTATGGACATCCATGGAGGCTGAAAGTTCGTGGTCCCAATGCTAGGCCTTCAAGACCTTTCCAGGGATGTCCGCGGAGGTGGATCAGGCAGTTGCACCACCCGCTTCTCGAATGCAGGGTTGGATGGGTTTGGCATTGTGTCATATGGAATGTAAATATTATACGGTAATCTATAAACACATAATACAATGTACACATATAATATGTATGTGTATATGAATACGTATATGTACATGTATATGTATATGTACATGCATGTATATGTATATGTACATGTGTACGTATGTATATGTGTGTATATATATATATACATATTTCAATCGTGTCGTTTACCAAATTCGATGGCATTGGCATGCTTTTCATGATGACTTTTGATGAGCAATCTAATATTGACACAGCTTGTGTCTCATCTTCTTTGATCACCCTTCTCTGCTGCTTTGCTCAGATGGTGTTTACTCCCCCTTCACTCCTGCTGCCCAATCAGTTTGATCGTGTTGCACCAAGCCTTTGACCATGGAGCCAATGAGGTTGGGACAGATGACATGGATGTTGAAGTAGAGAAGAAGAACAACCCAGAATTACAAGGCGGATTCTCTTGTGGTCTGCAGATTGCCGCCAAAAACTATTGTGAATCCAAGATGATGCCTTGTGAAACTTGTAATTCGAGCATAAAGAAGCGATGTCACAGTTGACTCTTCCCTCACCCAGCTGCATCACATGCTCCGTGCTTTGGAATTGAGCTCTTGCCGTGGCCGCAAACATACCTTAGGCAGAGCTTCCATCGTACATTCCACACATTCACGTTGGGTAGACCACCAAATAGGATGAAATGAAAGAAACATCGTGTAACATACTGGTTTTGTTGCTTCGGCTTGCCCTGAGCTTACACAATGATAGGAACCTTTATTTTCGGTACTATCATGTACGTTTCTGTCAAAGGTCCAACTAAAGACATGCAGGTGCTTTGGATCCGAAGTTCTTAGGGGATTCCAACGTCTACAGTGGCTCGGCAATCCATCTAACAAACGATCAGGGTGCAAACTGGCAAAGGAAGGCTTTCAAAGTTGGCCCTTAGACTTTCAAATTTGAGAAGAAGGGTATCCAGGGAGTGTATATATATATACTATATTATATATTAATTATATATATATATTATTATATATATAAATACATATACAATACATCTATAATGATATATATATATATATGAATGAGCCTGGTCCCCGGACTCCCACTTCTCCCCATGGTATGGTCCCTCACCCCCCCGTCCCGCACGTCCAGTGGCCAGGCTTCTTCCCTATTGCCTCTTTACATCCATACTCTCTTCCCCGTAGGTATGTAGGTATGTAATGTAATGTAATGTAATGTAATGTAATGTAATGTAATGTAATGTAATGTAATGTAATGTAATGTAATGTAATGTAATGTATAGGTGTGTAGGTGTGTAGGTGTGTAGGTGTGTAGGTGTGTAGGTGTGTAGGTCTGTAGGTCTGTAGGTATGTAGGTATGTAGGTATGTAGGTATGTAGGTATGCAGGTACCTAGGTATGTAGGTATGTATGTAGGTATGTAGGTATGTATGTATGCATGCATGCATGCATGCATGTGTTGATGTCTGGGGTGCATGGTATGTATGGCATCGATGCAGAAATCGAGGTATGCTGGTCACTGTTCGGGGTATCATATATTACATGGCCAGGACCGTGCTTGCATGGTTGTTTATAATGCCCCCCGCCCTGGCCACAGGGGGGGACCACTGGGGGGGGAGGCCCTGGCCACAGGGGGGAACCATTTCCTGGCTCATATGTATATATATATATATATGAATGTATAATAATATTGAATGATTCTGGATGCGTGACTTGCTCCAGCTCCTTTTGCCTTTAGCATTTCAGTGTCATGTGAAGGGTCACCTTCAGTATGAGTTTCCACGCTTTTGAGACATGTATATGTCCTCAGACTCATCCATCTTGACTCCTGGACAGCTGCCAGACTGGCAGATATCAAAGGGATTCAATCGCTATGAACGGCTCAAGTTGCTAAGGTGTCTCTGAATGCATCCTACTACGTTGGCTGAACTTTCACTTTGCGCACCTTGACTTATACAGTTGGTATTGTTAGTTCATCACAGCACGGACGTGGCCTTGTGAACTGATGCTTGCGAGGCGTGCCAATCGGGACCGTTACGGTCCGCGCAAGGTGCAATTGGCCCGGTGGCACACAACCATCAGGGACTTCTTGTGAGGGTGTTGGGGATTCACCAGTTGATGGATATTGATGGATATTGATGGATATTGGAGGTCGGTGATGCCAATGCCCAAAACGGCAAGTGAATATCACCTCCCTCTACTAATATGCACTATCTTTAACTATCTTTAGTGCGCAAGTCGCTTCTACAACGATACACTTGATGCATCTTTGAACATTGAAAGGTCAGTAAGTTGGCCCCAAAATTCGCCGCCTGGAGGTGTGCTGCTTCGACTCAGATCTGGAAGATTCCATCGTGCTGTCAGTGGTGATCCAGTCACACGTGCCGCATTGTCAGGCCAGATGCCGAGTGCCCAAGGTATGACCGTGTTGCACGGTGGACAACTGTAGCAGTTGATCTCCCATGCTTTCCAGATTTTTTCCAGTACGGTGAAGGGTAATTATTGTGGCTGCTGGTAGTTTCTGTCGGCAGAGAAAGTGGACGATTCTTACTTGTTTCAGCCCAGCGATCACTTGCTCTGGGGCAGTGTTTCAGGCGGTGCAGAACATGCGGACACAGTGTAGCAATTTGGACCACCACGAGGAGAATGTGCCTTGGATGAGAACAGATCCAGCAGCTGCTACAGTAGATGGGTTTCCTAGGTATGTTGGATAGCCTTAGGATATCTATTGATATCTTAAGATCTTGGACCACCATACCCAGTTTGACCATGCTGCACCTATGGCCTATTGCTCAGCCATATTACATTGAACCATTATGACATATGACATATGACATATTTGATCATTTACAGTATTTGCCCCATTTTACCAGGCGCTGATGGCTTATAGCATCCAATTAATGAGTATGACCAGTTTTTTGGGTCCGTTGGTACCTGACAGGTCAACATACCAAAGACACCCTGAGGCCATGCACATCCTCGCAGCACTGTCAGAGATTGGGCTTCACTTCCCCATCCAGGCAGTTTTTTTTTGTTACATGCGAGTCGACGTGTTGACGCTTCACATTGCTTTCCAACACCAACATTTTTACGGAGACTAGTGTCATGCTAAGAATTGTTGATGGCTTCCAGAGATTTCAAGATGTTTTAAGATGTTTTAAGTTTTAAGTATATTCATTTTCAGGACCTTGTTCTGGACGATGAAATCCAGATGAACTACTGTAGATGGTGTTTCTTAGAGAACTACATTGTTACAATTGTTACACGTAATTTCAGATTGAACAAATCTCACGACGTCTCACAACCCCTCTTCAGCGAATCGCAGGTCTCAGATATTGCGTCCCCGCAAGCAAAGGAACTGCTGGGGTGGCTGGTGCAAAGATAGGAACAAATGAGGATTCATCAACATTTCCCGAAAGGACAAGAACTAGCAATGACCATCCATGTCATCAAAACCCTGAATTTTCCTGTACTGTATAGTTTTACATAGTTTTCATATGTTTTCATGTTTGTTGGGAGAAGCGTTGGAGTCATCACAACACAACACTCCCATCAGGACATGCTCCTCTTTGTCATGTTCCTCTTCCAAAACCTTCCACACTATGTGCCGAAGACCACTATCATTTTCTCCACGATGTTGGGAGTTTCTTGGTTTCAGGAATAAGCAGAGACGCCTGTTGCTGAAGTTGTTGGGTACTTGATACACATTGTGTGAAATTCACAGCAGTGCTGCACTAGTTTGCATTGTTAGGCAGGATTCTTAGACCTTTGTAAAGCCATGGAGAAGGTCCTGAGATGTCCTGAGCTACTCTGTTTGGTGGACTTTCTGATCTGTGACTTCTGTATGTCCTTGCACAATGCTTGCATAAGGCTGAACCGTGTCGATGAGGTATATACTAGTGTTGTGATCATCCAAGAATAGTATAGCGGCCGCGGTGTGCTCGTTGAACGAGGTGAACATGACAAAGAACATTGAGCTCACAAACCCATCGAAGAAGGCCGGCTGCTCTGCCCAGATAAGGCACAACGAAGGCACTACATAGATCTCGATAGGCGCAACACAGCATTGTTGTTAGAACATGCTTCAATGGCAGATAGCCACTCAAGCAATTCAGCTTGAAGAAGTCAAGCTGCTTCCAAGTGAACCACAGCCATGAACCGCATGAACTTCAACCTGCAACATGTGCAACACCTAGCAGACCTAGCACTCCTGGCACAGGCGATTACCTATGGTGTGCAGCTAGTGGGCAACATTGGAGGCATCAGTGGATCCGACTTTGCCATCAAGGATGAGACGGTAAAGCTGGAACCCAGGCGAGCTCCTTAGGGTTGCCATGGGTGGCCTGGCCGGGGACTGTATTGATCCAAATAGCGGGTGCTTTCATGGGTGATAGCAAGCAAACAGATTATTTGCCTTAGTGCGTGAATTTGTGAACATATTTGACAAGTAGGATCAAGTAGTTTTTTTTTTTTTAACCAGTCGTTTTCATGTGCTCTTTTTCCAAAGTCACCAGCGCATGGTGCAGGCAGACAGTCTCCTTCCCAGTGGAATATCACAGCCGATTCTCCAGGCAAATCCTGGTTGGACTGGTTTTCAACGGACCGTACCAGCCACATGCAGATAGTGCCGCACTTTCTCCCTTGTTTTTCTCTCTTGGTCTGGTGGGATACTGTGTTGTCTTGGTGACAGCCGTAAAGCCCACTCGAACGAGTCTGCTCTTGGCTTTGGAAGTTGCCAACTTGACGTTGTCTTAGCTTTGCACCCATGTACACTCATCCGTGTCCGCATGGGTTCCTGCATACTCTTTTTGTCGCAAAGGGCTGGCATTCCAAAGTGAAGCATCTTAGTGGATGGGTCCAGCTTTGTTGGATCAGTGGTTGGAAACTTCGTCCAAACAGTCACCAATGGGACCAACCCTTTGCCGATTCGCAGGAGTGTCGATGACAAGATCATCTTCACCTCTCGTAGAGAAGGCAATGTCAACGCAGCAGCCATGGTTTTCAAGCTCAGGACTCTCTGAGCTCCCGTCATTTATTTTTTCGCGCTTTGTGCGCAGGCGCCTGAAGTGCTTGTCTGAGAATTAAAGACATTAAGGATAAATTATTCAAATACATAATACAACAAATCATAATAATGCATTTATATCATTGATACTAAGATCTTCTGAATTATGATGCTTCATGTTTGTTTATGTTGATTCATGTTGATTCATGCAGGTTCTGTTTTTGAAACTCTTCCAGGCAAACTCCCGAATTGCGCAACAGGAGCCGTTGCACGGGCCGGAAGCCCCGGAAGACCATCCAAGTCTCGGCTGTTCTCTACGAAGTTGGCACAGCCGGCGCCTTGGGGAAGATCTTGGGATGGCAATGGACGGCGAAGATGGCTGGTTTGGCTCCAAGATTTTAAATAAAACACATCAACAAACATGATGTTGAAAAACATCATTGTGGATCATTTAGGTTTACGATGGTTTAGGTATGGCTTCTTTGCCAAGCTTCAGCGAAAAAACAACATGGTTATATCTGAAGGTTGCTCCTCCCTTTGATTCCTTGTTTAGAAGGCATGGCAAGATACATGATGAAGTAAAGTTATGTAGCGGGCCCCCAGCTATTTACGACTTTTGCACACTTCGGGCAAAAGACATTTTGACCAGCCACCATATATATATCCATATACATATACTATATAATAATATATATATATATGTATACATATATGTATATGTATATATATATATGTATTTTATGTACTGTATGTATATAATATAATATTTATATTATATTTGTATAATGATTGATATACTGACTACAAGTGGTCACCAGAGACTAGCCCCACTCATCAGGTCGATGTTGAGCTGGAGAATCCCTTTGCGGAGGCGGATCTTTGGCTATCAGTATCTAGTCTGGCAGGTTGGTGTAGTATGAATGGTTTTGGACCATGTTGGTTCTGTTATGAGCTTTCAGATATCGAGGTGCAGTTTTCAGGGGGCATTGGCTGATACAAACCACCAGGGCATGATGCTGCTTCAAAGGATGGTTTGATACTTGCAGCAGACCTGATAATTCCTGTTCTTTTCTCTTTGAAGGAAATCAGGCAGAGTGAGACTTGATCCAGATATCAAAGCAACTCAAGTTGCAGGTGGCAGTGCTACGGTATATTTCACAGCATTTTTCGTTGATAAGCTGGTTGCAGGATGCAGAATTTTCCGTGGCCTTGAGAGAGTGCACCTGTTGCGATGCAGAGAAGCACCCTGCAGTAGCCTCAGTTCATCGCAGTTTGCATTCCAGATGCAGCGTAGATGACATGGCCTTGCAACATGTGCTGCAAAGACATTGGCGAACCACTGAGATCCATAGGACATTTTCAAGAAAGCTTCCAAGTCTCCACCCCTCAAACTTGGGAATTGGAAAAGCAAATGACAGATGTGCCATTGTCAAAAGTTGGATTGTATCTCCATATTTGGGGGGATGATCATCAACTCATTAAGAGTGATTCATAATGATTTATATACCCACTATGAGGATTCCCAATCTGGGATGGATGAACACACACCAGAATGACACAAGCCATATAATGGCCATATAATAGCCATATGTACAATACCCTAGCACACTGCTTAGCACACAGATTGACAATACATCGATTTGTGGAGGGCGAGACCTGAGGTGCCTTCCAAGAGGTCTGAGGGGATGGAAGCCTTTTACCTCAGCACCTTGGCTCTGGAATGCGTTGGATACATAGTGTATGACTCGAACATGTGTTACATGCTATCTTATGATTTTATAATACACCTATATAAGATTATATATATAAGATTATATATATAAGATTATATATATAAGATTATATATATATGAATATATATATATGAGTATATATATGAGTATATATATATGAGTATATATATATGAGTATATATATATGAGTATATATATATATGAGTATATATATATGAGTATATATATGTATATATGAGTATATGAGTATATATATATACGAGTATATGTATATATATATATGAGTGTATATATATATATATATCTAAGAGTATATATATAAGAGTATATATATATATGAGTGTATATATATAAGAATATATATATATATGAGTATATATATAAGAATATATATATATGAGTATATATATATACACGTGAAATACACATGTAGTGTTCTATGTATGATTATGTATATACCGACATACAATACTCAATGCCGACACAGGTGTACGCGCCGCGGCAGATGCCTTAATGCTGAGGTGTGACCCGCTGCAGGGTGAAGGCAGGTGGAACTAGCAAGATCACAGTGTCCTTCCTCCCCTTTGAGGCCAGAGCTTTGATCAATTTGATCAATTTTGATCATCCGTGAGATTTTGACATTTGGGGTACTCGATTTTCGGACAAACCCATATACATTATATATATATATCTATATATTTGTATGCTCATGGTGTAGTCACTGCAGTCACTGTAGTCCAAGCCTGCGGCCTGACAAATGCCCATTTCATAGGCACCAGCTCACTTCACAGCGCTGCTGGGTGTCTTCGACTCCAAGGTCTTGGGAGATCTTGGGAGATCTTGGGACATGGGACATCCGGGGGCTGGTGCACAATTCGATTCCAGCTTAGTTCAGGTTTAGCATCCGAAGTGGAAAATGGACCAGTGATCCCGGAATCCCCTTCTCTGAGCAAAAAAACTAGAACCTAATAGCCAATCATGATCACAATCAACCAGAACCAGCCACAAACCAACCTTTAGGAACCAACCTTTACTAACCACCTAGGACCAGAGCTTCCTTGCCTTTGGGACCCCTTGGGGAGGCTGGGGAATATTACTACGAGCTCTTCGGCACCTCCTCTCCACCTCTACCGCTGGAGACCTACAAGATGCAGGTGAAGGCTGAGGCCTCTGGCACCAAGGACTGAGATGGTGGGCATGTGGGCGAAATGAACCAAAATGGCTATGTCCCTACGGACCCGGGGTTAAAGAGTATCCACTTACCACTTTTTACCTCCCCAGTGTTTTGAGTTTTTCTTCTAATTTTCAACAATCTGCTGCGGAGTGGATGTAAAAGAGAGGTCAGTGTGAGACGCTTTATATATATATAATATTATATGATTATACTTGCAGGCCGGGCGTGGCGCCTTGAGGTTTATCATGTGACCAAGTCTTTAGGGCTTATTTAGGGTGTTTTAAGGATTTGTTTAAGGTTTATGTAGGGTTTCATTCAGGTTATTTTTTGGGTTTTTACCACGATCTAAATAAGATTTTACTTTCAAGGCAACCCCTCAGATTTAGGTTTTAGGATTTAGGGTTTTGTGTTTTGGAAACAAATCTCGTCATCCGTTCGGCCAATCCGACGATCTCCTGAATTGCATAAAACACTGGCCCTGCGCAGTCAAAACGCACTTCCCCGGGAGGCACCCCCCTTCCTGGCCGTAATTGTACATGTATAGTATACTATATAACTACACAAGAAAATGGAGTATGACAAGTATATTGTGGGTTATTATCAAGCAACAACATGATTATTTTCTATGAACATGGGTATCGCATATCCCTGACCCTCTATAGGTCCGTGGGGGGTGAACTGACCAAAGTGGCCAGAAATGGGATCGATGATGATCGATGTATAGATGCGTTGTGCAATATACTCTGCAGATATATAATTCGCCTGTGTTCGTATTCACCAGTGATACTCTGATACCATGTGATACTACCGTGATATCATGTGATACTTACCTCAATACCATGTGATACTACCAGCTTTGATTCACTGGGTAGCTGGCATGGACCTTGATATCAGGCTCCGAGCAGTTTCACATGTTTGCAGGACATCATCCTGCCCCTTCGGAACATGCAGGCGGCGAAAACTGCCGGCAATGGAGATCCCTGTTACGTGCGGCCAAAGATTCCAGCAGTGAGTTTTACTGCAGTTAAACAACTGAAGAAGTGAACAAGTGTCTTGTGTTTCCCTCTCTGAGTTGATTCAATTGGGGGTTTCCATAAATGGAGGTACCCCAATAGCTGGATGGTTTATAGTGATTATCGTGGCAAATCCTATTAAGATGGATGATTTGGGGGTACCCCCATTTTAGGAAACCTTTAATTATGTTCTACGTCTTCTAGGTTCAAGTTTTTTGAAAGAAATCTTTATTGATCCGCCGACCCTCATGCCACGCACGGCACGATGGCAAGCGGAGGTTGAACGCGCTCGAAGCTGGTTGGAGAGTCGGGGAGCTGGTCCACGTCCATTGCCACCGGACTACATCGTCTATGCAGCTGGGCTCAGAGCTGGGGGATGCTAATGTCAGCTGCTGTAGGACTCGTAGGACTATGACGACTGTGAACATGAGATCGATCGATGCGCTTGCACCCTGAAATATCTGAAATGCATTGACATGCTTTATAGGGATATATAGGGTCGGTTTCCGTGCGACTCAGGATGTGAAGGTTTCCTCGCCTTACTACACTGCGCCAAAGCAGGCCAATGCAAGAGCGACGAGAGGGCGCCCTTCCATCATTTGGGATCGTCAAGAAATAACTATGGGTCTCCAACGGTTTATTGCCATTTACTCGTAGTTGTCCGTTTCCCCAAGGAACTTGCAATTTGGGTGATAGCCCCCCAAGGGTCGGCACCTCGCTCCCGACGCCGAAAATCAACTCGCTTTCAGCGCCGAAAATCGACTCGCTCTCGACGCCTCTTTACTGACATCGACAACATGATAACATCAACAACAAGAACAAAATCAACAGCAGTCTCCAAATCGACAACACAAAAACATTAACAACCACAACAACATCATCAACATTCACATCAACATCAACGCCAATGCCTGTCTCTGCTCAACAGAAAGAAAGATGATGAGGTTGCTGTGCCTGTGTGTGCATAGGAACATGAACGTTATCATCCCACCCCACCCCACCCCACCCCACCCCCACCCCCCCCACCCCACGGGCAACTGATCATGAAAGAGCAGTGCGTGTAAGTGCTCTACAGCAAGAAAGATGATGAGGTTGCTGTGCGTGTGCAGGCATAGGAACATGAACCTTATTAACTCACCTCACCCCACTGGTAACTGATCATGAAAGAGCTGTGCCTGTCTCTGCTCAACAGCAAGAAAGATGATGAGGTTGCTGTGCGTGTGCAGGCATAGGAACATGAACCTTATTAACTCACCCCACCCCACCGGTAACTGATCATGAAAGAGCTGTGCCTGTCTCTGCTCAACAGCAAGAAAGATGATGAGGTTGCTGTGCCTGTGTGTGCATAGGAACATGAACGTTATCATCCCACCCCACCCCACCCCACCCCTTGAAGGGTTTATCAGTGTTGATCATTCCGCCTGTATGGTACCCTGATGGTTCCCCCCCCCCAACGTAAAGGGTTGAATCCCCTTGAAGGGTTTCTCAGTGTTGATCATTTGCCGTGTAATGTTTGTTTATGATGGGGTTCCAGAAGTGACGCCTCAGTACCAATGGGGAAATGGAAAATCGACTCGCCCTCGACGCCGAAAAGTGCTTTTTGTGTTGGAAGTGAGTTGATTTTTGGTGTTGGGAGTGAGTTCTTGGTGTTGGGAGTGAGTCGGTGTTTGGAGTGAGTTGATTTTCGGTGTTGGAAGTGAGTTGTTAACCCCCCCAAGCCCATATCCGGACGATTCCATTTTAGTCAAGCACACCAAAGTGGGGGCGACAGGTGCAGTTGCAATTGGTTTGAAGAAATTGACAAATCCTACAAACTGGACTAAATTGGAATAGTGATGCATAGGATTGAATACTGATGAATCGTGGTGTTGGAAACATGCAGCCTTAGCGCGGCATGATTTGTGATGGCTGCAGTTGGAATCCGAGAAGGGCCACTCTGATTTTCAGGTCGTCGTGCACAATGGACAAATGAGAGAAGCATTGCACTCAGCTTGTCCTAGCAGAGAGGCTTTGAGAGTACAGCTGAGTACAGGGAGATTCCAGAAATTGTAGCAGATTACTTCAGAGAATTAACATGTCAGTGATCACCTCCCGGAATCAATTGAAATCCATTTAAGTCAATTTAGATAATTTATGATAATTTAGATTAGATGAGCATAATGAGCTGGGAATCTCCGAGATTTTGGAATCTCATTGTGCGTTGACCCAGTTGACCCGCTGAGGGCAAAGGTGATGGCAAGGGCGCGAATCGCAGTGGTACCAATGGAGCCTTGGATCGCCAAAACGACCGGCGAAATTCCGCCCTCCCAAAGGCGGCAGGGATTGCACCACAGGCGAGATGGGATGAGATGGGATGAGATGGGATGAGATGTTTCAATCATGCCATTTAAGTCACCTTACCCAGAAATTTTCAAGATATTTAAGATGTTTTAATGGTTTTGACATGTTAAACCAAACCCATATGGTTGAACTTGTGAAACTCGACGTTCCGGCAATTTCCTTGATTTCCTCATCGACGTGGGTGGATGCGGTCATTGGCGTATGGCACACGCTACTTTCCTCGTTCTGATTCGGAGCCTCCCACCAGCTCTTGGCGGTTCTTGCAGATTCTAGCAAAATATGATACAAAAGTCTGGTTGCTGCAGTATCCTTCTGCTACAAAACGATGAAGTCCAAAGGGTGCTGTGATATGCTGTGTGTTCATACACACTTTTTGTCAGACTCGCGTCAGGTTGCGAAGCTGGTGGTGGAGTTCTGGCCCAAGGAGCCTGGAGTCTATCCTTGCACCGTGACTTTGACGTCAGATGTTGACATCCGCATCTACCAGTTTGAAGGCATGAGGGATCTATCGGGATCTTGAGGCATTGGGGGTGAAGAAGTTTCCCATTTTGACATTTATATAATTTATATATACTTATTTGACCCATTTTGATTGAACTAGTTCCTCTTCCAGAGGTTCTACCACCATCGCAAAGCTGCCATTTGACCGGACGGCTGGTTCTTTAAGACTCCTCAACACTTGGAATTGAAAACCAAGGGTGGGAGACGTCAGGGTGTAGGATTGTGTGGATTGCTGTTAGTCTGCCTAATTCGCGCCAACATCTCCATTTGTTGGATAATTTGCATATGTTGGCATGTTCTTGCCATATTCATCCGTATTCATCCGTATTCCATAGTGTGGTTTTCAGAGAAGATCATCCACAAGACATGGCATGAAATCAGCAACAGCCACCCGCAGGCACTGGAACTGCTCCAAACACCCACTGCTCACTGACCTTCACCACCCAAGCTCGGCCACTGGGACAGCAGAGATCGACCGATGCTTTATGATTAATCCAATGAGCGACTCGCCCAGGAAAGCCATTACTCAGGACTGCCGGGATGAAGATGTTTCAAGTTTGTGTTTGGTGAGGGATCTTGAGGATGCGCATTGCATTCCAAACTGGGTGAAGGGCACGTTGGTAACAATGGTAACAGCTCGGAACTGAAGTGCCGACATGATTTCATCCATGGACTGAATGAAGCAGCGGCTGCTTCACTTCAAACCCGCGATAGCTTGAAAGAAACCTTTGCAAAGGTTGTTGATCCGGAAGCCAATAGAAACAACAAACAATCGATATTCTTGACAGGAGATTCCAATCGTGAACCCTACAGACAAAGAATGGGTGACTTGGTTGGCAGACTTGATTCTCATCTCCAAGTTTTGGCTTGCCACATGTGCCAAGTCAAAACATGGTTTATATTCCCAGAAAAGGGGATGGTCATCAATCCATTTATTCGTAGGGATGTGTATATAATTGTATGTATATATATATACACGTATATACATATATATACGTATATATATATACACGAATGTATATATGTATATACAGACATGTCATACGCATATATATATATATGTCATATTATACCCATCATAAGGATTCCCATCATGATGGGGTGGATGACGATACCCCATATGTTGTGTTTTGACCATGGCACACATGGAAAGGGCCTGACCAGGAGAGTTTGTCCTTGAGAGAACTCATCCTGAGGCTATCAAGCCCACCTTCTCTCAGATCGGACACGAGTTTGATGGACCACGGGAATTTATCGCCAAGAAGAAGGGAGTCAGCAACTGAGGAAGTAGGGGATTAACAACAAGCCACAGTGAGAGAGAGAGAGAGAGAGAGTGAGTGAAGTCGCTTTGGGGTCTTTCAAGAAGCATGCTCCCGAGTGGTCCTTTTATATACTCCAACTGATGCCAGCTGACACTTTGAACATATTTCCTTAATTTCCTTTGTGTTCCATTCAAATTTTGTATGTCAGAGCAACACCACATCCTGAATCCATCCAATTTAAGCCATGCTAAGTCATACAGTGGAATCCAACTCGCAGACAAGGAGTTCTGAAAGATCTTGCTCCAAAGGATGGACTTGGGTGGTGTCATGCCATGTTGCTCAGGCCACAGGGCAAGCGACCGTCACCACCTATCCCTTGACCTTCAAGCCGGACTACGTTTGTGACGTGAAGGCAGGATGTTTTTTATCCAAAGCCATCCAGAATTCCCCCTGCACCTTGAAATAAGGCTGCCAAGCAACCCAAGGAAAACAGGATGATGCTGGTGATGTGGGATAATGGCGAGCATTTGGATTTGGGACTGTGCCATGCAATTTGAAATTCAAACAACTAGGAAGCGCAGCTTTTAGACTGGTGCGGTTGCAACTCTACCTATTCGAGCTGGAACGCTTCCCTTGAAAGGCTCAGCTGGTGCTGTACAACGTAGGGACCAATGAGACCTATGAGACTGAACCTCAGCAATCGATCGGACTGAATGGTGGACTACGAGAAAAGGACCTGTATGCAGTCAGCTTGTGCAAGAACGACTTTTGCTTGGGGTGCGCACGCTTTCACTAATTTCATGTATGCTTGAAAGTGGAGGGTTGAAAACAGTTTCGATCTGGTCCATTTTGGATTGTTTCCACGTGGTATGAAAAACAGATAAAAACAGAGAACCCCCAAATTTTGATGGCTATTGCTTTGTCATCATGATCCCTGTTGAATTGGCAATTTGGGGGTATGTACCACGTTTTCAGAGTCACCATGACACACCCAAATGGTTATGGTACTGTAGGTTATCTAATATATATTATACATATATATATTATATTATATATATTATATATAATATATATATATGTAGTGTAATATTATACACCACCATATCAGATTTTCCCATGACATCCCCATGACATCCCAATGTGGCTTTTGTTTTCTGCCGACCCCAGGTATGATCTCCACGGTGTTGCTGAAGAACCTCTGGCGGAGGAGCACGTGGTGGTGAAGCCTGGGACCCAGCGTACGCGATGGATGAGCAGTGGCTGCTACACCCTTTTGGTTGATTGTCAATACGTTTTTTTTTTAAATACAGTATACATATACACAATATACTCAATATATTGGGGATTACCACAATCCATGGATTCTGAATGATGGATGATTCTCAGATGCTAGTTCGCGTGGATTAGCTATGATTAGAGGGTATAGTAGGGTCATCGTCAGTGGAGACACCGTGGAGACCTTTGCTCCAGCTGAACCTTGAAGGTCAGAGCTCAATATCTTTTTGGAAAGGCCATGAAAAGGCATTTCGAATGACACGAGAGAACATGTAAATGTCAGGAGCAGTTGTTTTTCTTTCTACTAAGTAGATACTCTTTGAACATCATCTGGAAAGACCAAAAGGCGGTGCCAAGGTTGGCAAGGACAATTACAGTGTCACAAGTGGATTGTCAGATGATGCACTTCGCGGTCTTCGGTAGAGTTTTTGCACTGCTATGCATCACACTTCGGGACGAGAAGGTCTCAAAGCAATTAGGCCAGCTTTTGTGAACGTAGGAGTAGCATGTCTTTAGAACAGCAACAGCACAAGGTGTGAAGCTCGCGAGAAGACCTCCCACGTTTTCCCGGCGCCAAGCACAGTGGACCCGTGTGGACCCAGAGTATTTTATTTTTTCATTTTTTCCATCACTATTGCTATTTTTCATGATAAGACAATGATAAGACCTTTTGCATACTATATCAAATAACATTTTTATCTATAGTCTATTGTCATTTCGTTGAGTGTACAAAAGGACTGCGGCCACTTGCCAAGCACATGGGTCGATGGCACAACCAAGCTCAGTGGTATTTCGCAACATCCAAAACTGTGCAGGTGAAGAATCATTCCAACCTCACGGCGACCTTTGAGGTGAAAAGTGGCGTATGTTCCGACTGAATCCTCAAAACATGTACAGTCTGCTTGGATGTTTTTGGTTGAAAGCATCAGAGATCATCAGAGCATGTCTTTAAATACTCTTCCAACAGTAAGATATCATAATAAGATATCACTAGCGGTCACTAGCGCATGGAATGTCAATCCTTCCGGCTTTGATTCAAGCTTTAGCCACTGGTGCCACAGGTGGAGAGTGATTTGGTGCACATTTCTGGCCCGTCTTCTATTCAGGTAGCGCGTTGCCGTGTTTCCAAACGACTCCAGCAGTTGTCAGTTGGACCATTACAGAGTCGTTGGAAGATGTAAGACCACCATAGACATCCATAGACCACCCGCCTTGAGTCGGAGTGCAGGTTGATGGTCGAGGAACTGGGGAATATGAATTGGTCTTCCAGCCATTGCAAGCAGGGCAAGTGACAGGCCATGGGTGAGGAGAGGCTGAAAGATGCTGAGGGATCCAGAGGAAGTGAAACAGCATGAAACAGCTAGAACGCCATGGATTGGTTGAAGGCAGCAGATATTTTTTATTGGTCGATATTGATGTGTGCGTCACATGCTAGGTAAAATAGGCTAGAATATACTTCTGATTTATGATGCACCAAAGCAACCTGCCAGGCTGCATCATCTTCAGAGATACGCATACCGGCCACTTCACCTGGTATACTGTGCTTTGGCAGAAATGCAGTCTGCTAATGTTTGCAATATGTATACATATAATATATATATATAGATAGTGTTTCTGGTTGGCGGGACTAATGCTGGACCTCGGACCATGCGCTTTGGGCAAGTGTGACGGGTCGACATGGCCTGTAGAAAACTCAGTCAACGGGGTACACGTTTTGATCCAGTGTGTGTGTTTCCTCCGAGGCCAACCCAGACCAAAAGGATACTGTAATATAAATCAGTTAAATTAAATAAATAAATATATGTAATTATATATATATATATATGTTTTTATAATGTACCTGACATTTCAAAGCGGCCCTTTTTGGGGTTTGCAAATTATCCTTTCATGTGTTAAGTCTGCTAAGTAACCTGAAGCAAGGGGGTGGGAATAGACACTTTTGGAAAATCAGCTTCATTTGCACATCTCTTTTGAATCCCATGAGCACCTTCTGCCAACTTGGGCCAGCTTCATCCAGGTGGAATTGATGACGTTGCCTCCTAAGCCCCAACAGCATCTCACCTTGACGTGCGTGGTGCGACAGGCAGGGCATGACATGACGTGAGCAATGCTCAAAATCGCAGGTGCTCGATGACAAAAAAGTGGTTGCATGAGCGCTTACGGAAATTACGCTTAAACAGTTGTACCACTAACAGCCACCATCTACTAGCTGCTCCAATGAGGATTATGAACTTATATGAACTTATGAGCCACTCCTATCTGGGAAGCCCACTCTTAACTGGTGGAGGCCGTAGCCGTGGACATCCAACTGGTGAACCCCTTGGATGACGTGGTGGTTTTCGAAGTGGCCTTGACCGGCGATGGCTTGCTGGGCGAGGCGGAGTTTGTGTTGGCTCCCAAGGAGACGGCCACCTATGAATTGGTTGGGATCCAAGATGGCCATGTTTGGTGGTGAAACTCTGATGACTGTGGACTGATTATATAGTTACTGTATGTTACTGTATGTTACTGTATGTTGCTGTAAGGATTCTCTATGAACTACTGAAAATGATCCCTGCTTGAGGTGTTCAGTCCACTCTTACCTGCGAGAAGCAAGGGCACGGCAGTCTTCTTCAATGAGATTGTAGGCATGGACGGCTGGGAATGATGTTCTCAATCTGTTAACCTGAGACTTCTACGTTGGTGTTGTTGCTGCCTCTCTCTGCAAGACGGTGAGTGATATGAGTGATACTAACGGGCTTGTACCAAGAGGCCTTTTGACACCAAACTCATTTTTTTTTTAAATGTTCAGAAACCAATGTTTTTGATTTTCGGCTCACTTACTCTTGTGACTGGGCTCTCTGAAAATCAATTCTTAGTGGCTCCATGGGGCTCCCATGGACGAGCTGCTGGGAGTGCTCCAGTCTCCAGCTGATTTCAGCTGGGTTTGTCGGGTACTGGGTACCTCAAAATGCAGTGGATTATCACTATGTTCCCTGTTAAAATGCTCATCTTAATTAAGGGTATACCCTGTTTTCAGACACACCCATATGGCTTCCTGAAATGTGGTGACATGTTTCAAGTGAGTAGCTATGAGTAGCTGCTGATTTTCACCACATGGCAGGTGAGTTCTGGTACGACCTGAGCCTGCTGGCCGAAGCCGCCCCGGCGGAAGAGATTGCACCCTTGGAGTGTGAACTTGGCAGGAGGGCAGGAATCAGTTACTGCATAGCTTAGCAAATTGATTGGTGAAAATATGTGAAAATGGTAAAGGGTGGGTGAGGAGAACAGTCCATTTTTTACAGCTGTAAAATCGGGGAAGTCTTGATATACACCCAGCACAAATTTGATACTGAGAAAGGGTCTATGGACCGCGCGCACAGACTACTGGTTCTACTTGCATCAAACAGATTCAAACAGCAGAAGACCTGACAAAATTGACAAATATGTGTCCAATCAAGGTGATTTGGTGCTGAATGTGCCTTGATATTTCTGCATTTTCTGCAACCTGGAAGGACGGCCCAAACCACGGTGCACATTGACAATCCCACAGGACAAGAGGTCGTGAGAAGCTCAGTCCTGGCGGCTTAGTGCTGTGCATGGCATGGTGGAGCCGGAGCCGCCGAGGTCTTGAAGTATCGGTCTACCAACAAGATCAACTTCAAGGCGCCCAAGGTCTTAAAGGCTGCCATATTAGGCTCAAAAGTTTGGTTGTTGGATGAGAGTGGCAAACTGGGAAATGTTAGGTTTCAAAATGTAGCATCTTTAGTACCTGATTTTTAGACATTTTAGACTATTTTTAGGGAGAAATCACAAAATCCACCGTTTTTTTTATTTTCCCAACTAAAGAAACATCATCGAGTTGAGATGCCGCGCACATCGGCGCACGGAAGGTTTTGAACAATCGCGTGGTTCTGCCACCGCTGGAGTCGTCAGACATTACCATTGAGTACAGTCCGTCGTCATTGGGTGTTTTGGCAGCGAACCTAAAGCCCCCATTATTTTTCAACATTGATCAGGCGATAAACATTTACTAGTGCCAGCATGTGCCAGCTATTTTGATGCGAACAGAAGGGTACAAGGGTTTTTGACCTATGGATATAAATGTTGAAGCGTACTAACTAATATATATATATGTAATGATTTGCAGCCTGCTCCAAGTACCGTTTGTTGTGAGGTTGAATGCAACTCCCTTGGAACAACATGTCAAATGTATAGGTTCTGCAAGAGCAGGATGAGCTTCAAGTGCAGCAAATCACGAAACACCATATATACATACTACACCATACATAAGTAAATATATATATATATAATCATAATATGCAATAATATACATACATTATTATACAATATATACATACGTAATTGCATACACTTACAGTACAAAGGTTTGCCATCCAACGACGTGTCCCATTTGCAACATCAACAGTAAGATTTTAGCTTGGTCCCTTGGGTCTTTCGGCAATCTCAGGTGTGAATGAGGAGGCACAGATCGTCTTCGAGCATCCACTTGTTGGACAGTGGGTGTACAAGGCAGTAGCTTCGCCGGAGTCGATGTTGTCTGGAGCACAAATGGTAACAAAGGCGGACCAAAAGAACATACATTTTGGTATGCACATCTTGTGACAAATTCGTCGATATAAAACATATGGCTGTGTATTATATACACTACGTATATTATTTTAAATTTTGGATGCACTGTATATACATACATACATACATACATACATATATATACACATACATATATACATACATACATACATACATACATAGATACATACATACATACATACATACATACATACATACATACATACACACATACATACATACATACATACATACATATATATATATACATATACATACATATGTATATATATACATATATATATATACACACTATATTCCATTATCTATCTATATGTATATATATATATATATATCTACACCGTATAACCATATTGGCACACTTGCACTTGTTGACTGTTGACAGTTGATAGCTTGTGGCCAACATCCTGGGCACGTCACGTCGCAGGCGCAAGGCCTTGGGCTTCCGCCCTTGGAAGCGCGGCATGTATCGGTGGCGGCACAGGTGAATCGCACAGTGTCATCCACCATCCAATTCAAGCGCCCTGGTTGCCTTGGTCATCTGGTCGCCAAGGTTTGTTGACAGTTGGCGACCTGGGTAAGAGGTCTTGGTGACCTCTTGTTCTTTTTTGGGTGAAGATATTGGAAATGATTGGAAGATGCTTGAGATTTGTGCATTTCCATTTAGGGAGGGATCTAGCTGCATCCAGCAAGTGCTTACCTAGAAGCAACTACATCACAAACCACTCTGTTGGTATGTTGTAAGTGAGAAGACACAGGCAACGGATTCAATTAAAATTAATCTCCACTTGAAATCCAGCCAGTTGTGATTCTGATTGAGCGATCTGTGTGGCATTTAAGATAGAACATTTGTATGACCAAGGAACCCATTCTTGGAGACCATCACCATTTTCATTGTCCTGGAGTCCAAGAGCGAGAAGGGGGTCTTTAACCTGCTGAGCAAGAAGGCTAAGGCCAGAAGCATCAAGCTGGGTGCCTGATGAGTCAACGCCCCCAAGAGTGTTTATTCGGGGTTATCAGACCTGAGATAACCAATGGATCACCCCAAATCCCATGATTTATATTGAATTATATTGATTTGTCACAATTTATCATCATGTTCCCCCCTTAAAGTTGCATTTTTTGGGATATCCCAGATCCCCGGATATCCCCCATTTTGATCCGCAGACACCGCACTTGCCGAGGTGCAGATCGGTCCCTTGGCCACCACGCAGATCCCATTCTCCTTCTGTCCGCCGACCATGACGCAACACACGGCGGAGATTGCGCTGTCGGCCACTCGTTCTTGGATCCAGAAGGAGGAACTGCAGCTCTTTGCACCTTTGATTCACAACTTTGAAATCCAGTTGCCATTATTTGAGCTCAATACTCATATCAAGTCATCTGATTTCAGACCATTTCAGCTAGGACCTAGGATTGCAGCACATGTATTTGCATGACACAACATTCACAACACCTTGCTGAAGTATTGGCAACTTGAAGCTCAGGTGATGAAGCCAAACCTGAGTTGGTCCTATCGCATCCAGGGAGTGGCCGAGGCACCAGCCGATCCCACACTGCATACCTTCACAGTGCCTGGGCACAAAATATCTGCCATGGCAATGGGAAGTTCCCACTTTTCACGGGAGATGGAAAATCAATGAAAATCAGCTAGACTCCTAGACATCGTTGGATATGATACGTTGGAGATTTTCTATGATTTTCCATGATTTTCTCAGAGGGTAAGTCAAGTCTCATGGTGAGTTGAGATGTCAGAACCACGGCGCAGTTTTGTGCTTTTGTATCTTTTGTGGTGTGCAAGACGGCTCCAGCAAACAGCAATCATCAGCTCAACACGAAACAAAGTCAATACGAAGAGACCCAGCAGTGAACTCTGAGGTTCAAGCGCGAGAATCGCTGCAGACGACCTACGCTCTGACGTTGATTGGTTTGGACACCACTCCTGGGGACAGGCCAGCGGCATGCTGACAGAATCTGACAGATGTCCTGTCGCGGTGGTGTTTTCTGCCATGTTTTCTGCCAGATCTGCCAGGCACGGTGACCAATTGTCGTGTCAATTGGAAGTCCCACCTCAACATCAAGCGATGGCACCTTGGCAATTTGGCCACAGGATCTCGCGACTCCAAGTGTCGTGGATGAGGACGTATTTTAATGACTTCTTAATGTATTTCACAAAATTTCACAATATTATATATATATATATTATCATATCATATCATATCATATCATATCATATTATATTATATTATATCATATCATATTATATTATATTATATTATATTATAGACATTATATTATAGATATTATATTTTAGATATTATAGTTTGTTATAGTTTGTTATAGTTTGACCTGACATATTCATAACATTCATAGTATATCATAATATCATAACAGAGATTCCACATCAAGATATGCTCAGATTCCATGGCCACTGAGGTCTCCAAGTGCTTCGACATCAGCCTGGACAGCGAAGTGACAGCTGCAAGGGGCTCGAGCCAGGCATGAGCTGCTGGGAGCTTCTGCAGTCGCTGATGTTGGTTGTAGAACCATAATTATTTCTAATCATACTATTATGATAATGGTATAATATGGTATAGGCATAGGTTATAATCATGTATGATCATATATGACAATCTATCTACTATAGTATAGTAATAAGTATAATATTATACTGGTAGAATGATGAATATGTATATATATATATATACATGTATATATGTATATGTGACAATGTGATACGAATATAGTTCATGTTTCCCTGAGTTTTGAGATGATTCAATTCATTGAGGGAACTTGGGCTTTCATGGCACTGCCAGGCTTCAAGGTCTCGCGGGGGCAAGTCAGATGGACAGGTGTACCTCAAGGTGCGGCCGCCAAGTCGGTGCAAAGCCACGAGTGTCAGCACCATTCGATCAGACACATTAGAACACATTCATAGCGGAATACTGGCATAGTACCTCTTATGTCCTCTTATAGTATATCAAATGTATTAAATGTATTCAATGTATTAAATGTATTAAATTAATATATATATATATTATATATATATATATATTACATAATATATATATATATACACCTACTACTACCTGCTACTCCTACTACCTTCTTTTGCTCCTACTACCTACTATTGCTATCCTACGACGTACTATTACTACTCCTACTACCTACTATTACTACTACTACTCCTATTGTTTTTACTACTATTATTACTACAATTACTAGTACTAGTACTAGTACTAGTACACTACTACTACTACTACTACTACTACTAAGCAGCAGCAGCAGCAGCAGGTATATATATATATATTATATAATATATAATATATTATATATATTATGTATTATATATAATATATGTTGCGTCTATTATATATATTATTACATATATTATATTTTTATATATTATATATTGTATATTGTATATTATATATTATATATTATATATTATATTATATATATTATATATTATATATTATATATTATATATTACATGTTATATGTTATATATTATAATATATTATATATTATATATTATATATTATATATTATATATTATATATATATTATATTATATATAATATATTATATTATATATATATATATTATATTATATATTATATATTATATATTATACATTTTATATATTATATATTATATATTATATTATAATTTATATATTATATTATATATTGTATTATAAATTATATTATATATTATATTATATATTATATTATATATTATATTATATATTATGTGTTGATATTATATATTGTATATTATATATTGTATATTATATATTATATATTATATATTATATATTATATTATATATTATATATATTATATTATATATTATATATTATATTATATATTATATTATATATTATATTATATTATATATTATATATTATATATTATATATTATATTATATATATTATATATTATATATTATATATTATATTATATATTATATGATATATTATATTATATATTATATTATATATATTATATTATATATTATGTGTTGATATTATATTATATATTATATTATATATTATGTGTTGATATTATATATTATATATTATATATTATATATTATATATTATATATTACATATTATATATTCTATATTATATATTATATATTATATATTATATATTATATATTATATATTATATATTATATATTATAATATATATTATATTATATATTATATAATATATAATATTATATATTATATTATATATTATGTGTTGATAATATATATATATATTGTATATTGTATATTATATATAATATATAATATATTATATATTATATATATCATATATTATATATTATATATTATATATTATGTATGTATCATCCTATCATCCCGTGTTCCCCCTTGGCCACTTGTCTCTAAGCTCAACGCATAATCGCAGGTCAACTTCTCACCTTTGAGACCGTTCATTGCGCTGTGTTGCCTGGCTCAAGTGACTGATGAGTTGATGGACATCCGCTGCCGCTCACTTCGTGTAACCCAAATTGGCTATGGTTTTTTCACCTATGTGCCAAATATGGGGATGGAGCATCAATCCCGGCGGTTTTTTGAGGTTCACCAGGGTTTTGAAGGGTTTTGACTCAGAGCCTCCAACCAGCGACTGCAGCGACCGCCAAGTACCCGAGGTAATTTGGTGATCACGCGCGCCTCTGGGGGTCGCTGGCGCTTTGATCTCAAGCTGGAAGCGACGGAACCGGAGGTGGGATACCCTTCGGGAATTGAACCATAATGTATTTAAGCATTTAAGCATAGCTATGGAAAATCATGATTTTTAGTAGGCAAATCATCTATAAATGGGCAATTTTTATCAGTTCTCCATAATTAGTTATGACAAAATTACCAGAGGGTACGCGATTGTTCCATGAGTTCAGCGGCATTTTGGAACCACGAACTCTTCGATCTATTGATATCGATTGTGGTGGGAAGAATGTTAGCCACAAAAACATCGCAAGAGTTTTTGGCAGGGTTTGTCTATGTTTGTCTCATTGAGGGTTTGTCATCCATGGTGGGAACTGCAGGTGGATGATGTGATTTCCATCCAGTCGCCCCTGAACAAGCCAGCCAGCGAAGCTTGGTTGCAGTATCCAGGACTCAGTGGTGACTACGGTGAAAAGCAATGTATTGGTTCACATGTTCACAAACATATGAATCTGTGATGTACTGATGTGCTGTGTTTCTCCATTCTTATGAGACTATAAGCACTTAAAAACCATATAAAACTATAAGATGCTATAAGGATCTATAGGGGGGGACTGCATACTGACTGCACTCTCATGCTCATGCCTATACCATAAAATTTTGGTATTCGTATGCCAAGCAATTGAGGTGGCGTTTAGACTCAACAACCACACTAGCGTCTACTCCGAGTTCGAAGCTTTCTTTGATGCGGAGTCGGCCTACGAATTCACTGTGCAACCAACCTCAGGAGAATTGGTACCAATCACATCCTGTAATTAAACTGTTTGCATGATCATTTTTCTCGTCACCTGACCGCTGTGACTTTCCACACACAATCAATGATATCAACATGTATGCGAAAGATGGTGTTTATATGTGTTTATCGTGTTTATCGATCTTTGATTCCTTCAGTAAAGCGACTGCTGTGAACATTTGCTTCTGGCTGGAGAAAGTATTTGAGCGGGCTGAGTAGATGTGTTACGACAAGTTACAAATCAAGCCCAAACAGCAAGAAAAATGAAGCACATCTGAAGCAAATGAAATTCCAGGAGCCACCTTGCCAGCCAGGAGACAGAACAATTCCATGAGGGAACCTTCATAACACCTTGGCATGAAGAACACAAGCCGCTGCTAGTCTAAGACTTTGATCTAAGCATCCAATCTGTTGACATCTTTTGATGCCGATCAGTGGACATCTGCCCCCAGTGATTTGGCTCCTGCCATCTCTGCAGCAAGTTAGACGATCAACGGCGCTGTGCGAGGGACCTCAGGATTCGACTGGTCCTGCCGCTGGGGCACGAAAAACACATGTGCTGCGCAGCCGCAACACATCTGGAGATGAGCTGGAAAACTCATTGGAATTGGCGGCAGCTGCAGCCACAGACCTCACGACGTATTGGTCAAATAGTGTGAGACCATATGCTCTAAGGGGTAGCCCTTTTCTCCGTCCGCCAGTATTTGCTTGCTTAACACGGCTGAATGCAGAGTTCGATGCAGCAAGGCGGACAACGCGACTTTGATTTGGACCAAACTGCCAGCATTTTTTTGCCTTTTGAAATTCCCGCAAGGTGATATGTATATATATATATTATGTATGTAATTATATGTACATATGTATTATATGGTATCGTATGATATTATACATACTATATTATAGATATGTAAATAACAATAAGAATATATATATATATAATTATGTGATCATATATGCTGTTTGTGAACGCACCAATGAACCACTTGCTTCACTTGCCCCAAACCCTCAACCTCAGGCCAGGAACTTTGGAGATCAACATCAATGCACAGCTGAAGGCATCGCATTCACGACGACTCCTAGAGGTTGAGCTCATTGGTCGCTCCAGTGGCAGTGTTTCCCAAGATGGATTTGGAAAAGATGATGGTTTTGGGGTTGGGAACTGTTGGGTTTTTCCTTAGTTTTCTTGCTTCTCCCCTATGATTCTTGATAGGGGGCCAGATCCCAGACATTTTCCCATTCCAAGACTGCCATTTGGGATTGTCTGAAAATTGGGCACCCCTAAATCCCCTGGTTGATGAGCATTTTCCCTATTCAAATGGCCATACCACGAGGTATACACCAGGTATACCCTATATTCAGCAACCATTTGAGGTTATCCTTCGTGGATCAGCCTGGTGCAGTGCCACTACTCCCGATGCCAAGTTTTCACAGGTCGTGGTACCACCAGTGCCGCTGGCGTCCGAAGAGACAGAAGTTGCCTTGAGCCGCTTCAAGGCATTGGAGAAGCGGCCGCGACTGCCTTTGGTGTCTCAGAATGGATCTTCGACTTATTCGAAAGTTCTCTTTTCATCTATGTTCCATATATATATAATTATATGTATATATAATTATAATATATATATATTATATATATATATATTGATGTACATATATGCTTTCTGTTTTTCCTAGCTGGGTTGATCTGGGTTGCTTCAATACCAAGATTACCAAGATGGAACTTGCCCATAACATACTTCTTGTTCTGAAGGGTTGACACCTTTGCTGAGGACACCAGTCCCTGGGCACAGTTGGGTGCCTTTCCTTGACTTTAGAAGCTGAAGATGTCACCGCTGACGAACTTGCAAATGTTTATGGTCGCACACAAAAGCCAAGCTCCAAGAAATTGGATCCAAATGCCTGCGGAGACGTGGGACCTGTCCTGGGGAAGGCCCTTCAACTGTCCACAAGATTGGCTGAGGGCTCGGGGAGAAAAGTGGAGCTTTGCAGCATTGAAGTTGAAACAAGTCCCGTTGCTGTCAATAGTGAGATCCGACTATGTGCCTGCATGGACAAAGGAAGTGACCAAAGTCCGGCCATTCTTGTCACTGGCTGGCTGCATGGCAAGGATGTCCTCCGGTTTCGGGCTGTGTTCAGACCCTCAGTTGAATGAGATTTGCTGGAACACACTGGTCAATACTTTTTTTCTCAAGGCGAACCGCTTTTGGGCTTTCTTAAAAAACCTCCATCAGTTTGATCCAAGACTCTTGCGACTCCTTGCCCTGGCCCTCCAGTACAGCTGTGGGGTCGGGCCTGGCTGCTCCAGTGCTTGGTCTAAAGCCGGACTCTTGATCTTCTTGGCCGAAATGATCAGATGCTGTGGTCCGCGGAGGAGTTAATTCAGTTGAGCATCATGTTGTTCAGGGATCAAGTTCTTCCAGAGTTGGTCATGTTGGTCCTATCAGTGAAGTTGGTTCACGCCGTCATGCAGAGGAGTTGGAACTTCAGAAATGGTTTGATGCGTGGATTGAAATTTTGTCAACGTTTATCTCACAGGCTCCTGCTTTTGCGAACTTGGGTTTCTTGGCGAAATCGTCCTTTGATCGAGTTCTGCGTCAGAAGCTGGAATGTGTCTCATAAATTCTCACAATAAGGACACCTCCAATGTTTCAACAAATAGGTCAAGCATGAGCTGCAGAACGCTCGAGTCTCGTGCCAAAACCAAGGGCGAAGGAAAAATAATTCTGTGCGCATAGAAGTGCACAGACGAAACAGAGATGATTCAAAGATGGTGCGGTTTTGCGTTTGTTTTGCATTCTTAAAATAGAGACTTGGAGAATCTGAGGTGAGATGCCAAGTTGCGGCGCATATATTATACATATATATATATATATACACTGTATAATTATACTGTTTGTATTCTCTAAAGTCGGAGCACAATTTCAACGCATCCCGCAGGAGTGCTGGAACCGGCTGGTACAAATGGCACGACATTTGTTTCTCGGCCATGATGAAGAATACATTTGCCTGCTGAGTTCCTGACATATTCAATTTGTGCACTGTTGCGTTCCGCAAATGCTTGCTCCATGATGGAAGTCGCATTGCTTGGCATTCACTCATGCTGAGGTAGTCACCTACAAGCCAACAGAATACGGCAAACCCGTTCAGGGGAAACTCATCATTCAAACAGAGGAGACACCATTCGTCGTTTGAGAATGCAAAGATGAAAAGCATATCTTAACTTATTGGATCAACATGGATGCGTTTTGATTGCGTTGACTGCAGCGAGGACGTGTGCATACTACGTGTTTATGCATGTTCTATAGTTTGTATTATCAAAAACCTACTGTATCCTGCAATTGATTGAGAGCATCCCATTTGACCATCAACACACCAAAATAGATATTGTCGCATGAAGTGAGCTGCAGTGCTTTTCTGGGCGCGTTTCTTTTCTATCAGTGCTGGTTACTTTTTGTGGTCGAGAGGGGTATGAAGGGGGTTTCCACCGGCTTGACCCAGAGCATTTTGTGTTGGTCCAGGGGCAGACGTTGGAAACCAGTTGAAACATGTTGAGCAAAATCCCCACCATCAGCAGCAGCACTGGAGGATGTGTTTTGGTCGTACCTGGTGAAGGGCACCCATCCGAAGTACACAGCACCTGTGGTGGAGAAGGCCAAGGTGGCAACGAGGCGCCGCCGGGCAGGATCAATCCTCAAACTGCTGCGGATGGGTCAACATATGTCATGTATAAATACAGGTATGATAAACTTTGATTACTGTATAATAATGTATAATATAAATAGGTAATAGACTATATAGAATTGAATATATTTCATGGATATTCCGTATCAACTGGGCTGATGAACATCCATGAGCCCCAGCATTTGATTCGGGTTTGATCATGTTTCATCCGTACCCAACTGACGTATGCCAGTCAAAGAGTTTCGGCTTGGACGGCTTGGACTGTCACACTTGACCAAAGAATTTCCATGCCTTCCGGCTTCGCGTATACTGATTGATCTGATTGGCCTTGCAACCCCCATGGGCCGAGTTGTGAATCATTGTGAGTCCATATTTATGACATTTTATGAGGAGGCCCAGGTCTATATCTAAGTGGCCCAGTTGATGTCTCATAGCGTGCAGCCATCGCAGGTTAACCAAAGAGATGGAGATGCAGCTGGCCAAAGCATCGCAGAGCAGACGGAAGAACTTCATCAAGGACGAGTCGATATTTGTTTCAAGGTTCAACACCCCTACATTCAACATATTCAACTCTACGAACTAGGAGCAGCCTGTACCTTAAAAATACTAAACTGGTGGTGGTTTGGAACATTTTTTATTTTTCCATATATTGGGAATAAGAATCCCAACTGACTAATATTTTTCAGAGGGTTGGAACGGTTGGAACCACCAGCCAGTAAAAGCATCCAAGAGTAGTCACATTCAAGGTCAATATTTTAGGTGTCTGAAGATCCAGTTTCAGAGTTTTTGAAGTGATGGCTTTGCTAAAGATGCTATCGCGTGGTTTGCTTGAAGAGTTGCTGAACCAGATTGACACATTCCAAAAACCACAATAACTCCTCATGGTAACCATAGCTTTTCGATGCTTTTCGAACAACTCTTTGGATTCCAACCTGACGTTGAGTGAACCCACATCAACGCGAGAACGACATCTCCAAGCCTGCTCCGCAGAGAGACTGCTTTCAGGAGAATATGAAAGGTGGTGCCAAGGATTAGCTTTGTCGCCATCGAGGTCACTGCGTCCGAAAGCACAAAAATGAACTCCATCCAGATATCCAGAGGACAGTCGCAAATGATATAATGATATATATAATTACATACAATTATATACTTTGTGTATTCGGAATACATGTGCTGTATACATTGTATGTATATATATAATTATAGATATAGATATATTTAATCTACATAGTGTACTGTATACAATCGCACATGAGCTAATTGAGTTGTAGTTCGTATTTATTGTGTTTTCTTTTTGGGCATTTGGCACTCCAACATGTGAGGCCTTGGGTGGGGGGGGACTTGAGATTCTGGAGCCCCAAGTTGCCAAGGCTATGGCAGTGCTGCCGTCATGGTGGTTGAACCAGAGACCTCACTGATTCAAGCATCGCTCCGGTGCTGGGCTGCAATTGCAGATGCTGTTGACTGTGAATGACAACAGCTACAATTACATGCATTTACGCGTACATACTGTATATATATATAATATATACACAAATTCATACATTCATTCATTCATTCATACATACAGACAGACAGACAGACAGACATACAAACATACAGACATACAGACATACAGACATACAGACATACAGACATACAGACAGACAGACAGACATACAGACATACAGACATACAGACATACAGACATACAGACATACAGACATACAGACATACAGACATACATACAGACATACATACATACAGACATACAGACATACAGACATACATACATACATACAGACAGACATACATACATACAGACATACATACATACATACAGACATACATACATACATACATACAGACAGACATACATACATACAGACATACATACAGACAGACATACATACATACATACATACAGACAGACATACATACATACATACATACATTTTTAGATAGATTCGGAACATAGGTGCAGACAGGGTGCTTTAATTGAGGAATCTGTTTGACCATCTTTTCTCCCAGCAAATAGATATCGATTTTGTGGCCTCAGTTGAGCAGTGTTTGAACAGTGCGGAGCCACGAGAAGCTCTGTGTGTCAAAAGCAAACGGTCTGGTCTGGCTGCTGCCACTGTACCCTGGGTGTGTTCACTGGAGCTCAGTCGATGTAGTTTGAATTCATTTCATAATATATAGAATATTATGGAATATAGAACAGGCTTTCTATGCCCTCTGGTTCATGATGCTTAGTTTCTTAGATACTTGATGATACTTGCACATTGCTTCACAACAAGTCAAGTTTCTTTTCCACACCACAATGAACTCTGGAAGAGCGCCCCTGGGGCGTTAATGAGCCGTTTCACCCTTTCGCCCAAGGGAGAATTCCGCATCAAGGAGTGTAACCAGCAGCTGCAAGATGCAGTGGGTTTCACGCATGGCGCCCTTCTTGCGCCTTCCAAGGAGGTTTGCTCAGAAGAGCCATAAAAGATCAAACAGCTGGTGTGGTCAGGCGGTATATGTAATAATGTAATATGTACCGTGCCAAAGGGGTGTAAGTGTAGGGTTTGTCAGTTGTGGCATTGAAAGAGAACACCTGTTGGATCCTGGGCTACTTTTCCACCAGTTTCTGCCAGGGCTTCTTTTTGAGACACCAAACATGGCGAAAACTTGTGCGGAACCATGCCCCGTTTATCGATGCAGCCACAAGCCACAAGCGGCGCCGAAGGGCGGGTGATCATAGGCTGGAAATGGGTCCTGGGTGTTCACAGTGTCCACCTCATTGAACATTTGAACCCACCTGGGGATGAATCAGATTTCAGAAGCCTATCTGTTAACCAGTGACTTTAAAAGGATCATAATGGAGCCATTTGGGCCAATTCAATCCAATTGACTGTTGATTCAATGGAGCTTTGGGGGTTGACCCTAAAACCAAAGAAGAAAGATGTTGAACCGTGCAAATCAGAATTTTGTGGAATTCGGCCCAATGAAACCCATCGAGGGGGAGGAGGCTAGGTGAATCAGCGAAGCCTCCTACTGAGGCGGTTGTGGGGGGTTTTGATCATGGCGCGAGATGATGAGGAGACCGCGGTGCGGTGAGTTTTTGACAGTTGACATCTGAAAATCCAGCCGAATTATTCCGAATTAGTTTGGGAGCAGTTTGGGGTCATGTCGGTGGACTGGTCGCAAGATGTCAAAGCTAAACGGAACCGGAAGGATCAGTGCACCTTGACAGCCGCGCCAGGATGAGGAAGGAGTTCAGCGCAAGCAGGACCAATCTTGACATGTCTCTGTTTACTCTGTTTGGACCATTAGATCCAGTTCCCCAAAGATATCACACGCAGAATATATTCGATATAATATATGAGTCACGGTCAAAATTGTTGAAGTTCACTTTAGTATTGCAGGAGTTTTTTGTAAGAGATGTGCACGAAACACTGTCAAGTGATAGGCCCCTTCAAAAGCGATAACCTGGGACCATACACGACAGTCCATTAAACTTGGCGTAAGCCAAGCAAAAACTGTTGCGCACATTCACCCAACGGGCAAAACCGATGAGGGAAACTCAACCGGTGGTACCCCGCTTCCTGCACTTACCATATCATTTGGCATCCAACTCGCTCGCTCGCTCTCTCTCTCTCTCTTTTTTTTTCCTCTCTCTCTCTCTCTCTCTGTCGTTTTGTGGAACATTTCCTTCGAACAATGTCAGATGTTGTATAGGGGTTATTTAGCGATAACCTTAGCGATAACTTAGCGATAACCATTTGTTGCACTCGGTCCGCTGGCCCAGCCACAAACCCATTTCCATAACCTTAGAAAGGAAATGGCAGGACATGAATGCCAAATTAAAAGAAAATACATACAAATGAAAGGAAGATGAAAGGAAATGAATGCAGATTGGAATGAACATGAAAGGAATATGAAGGGAAACTGAAAGGAAACTAGTACAAATGAAAGGAAAAGGAAATGAAATGAATGCAAAATGAAAGCAACTGAATTGTCGCCGAAGCACCTGAAATCAAAACAACTCCTCGATCGATTTCCAAGCCTGTGTAGTAGGAACGGATTTTGGCTTCATGTTGGATCTCGAATATGCTGATTTCTACAAAACCCTGGAAAGCGATAGGCCCCCCCAAAAGCGATAACCATAATAGCAACTACTCAGATGTAAAGGGTTTTGACCGGAGCTCATATATACATATTTCTAGACATCTACAAATCCAGGGCAGCTGAAGACCAAAGATCATTTGCAACTTCTCCATACTTCTAGGTTTCAGCCTGCTGGTCCAGTTTGCAGATATCTCAACCCTTGGAATTGCATGGATTTGAATGGATTTGCGTACCTCAAGGAGTTTCTCCAATTTCGCAGAACTTTAGATGGCATGCGAGCCAAAGAGGAGGCCTGCCACACCCACGCTGTGAATGCTGCATGCTTCACAGATTTGATGAAGTCGCAGCAACCAGAAACGAGATACAGACAACAACAGTATTGTTCAAATAGGTTGAAATAGCAAATTTTGATCTGACTGACCTCGTGGCATGGGCGCTTTCCAATGTTTACAATGTGTTGCTGTGCCAGGGGCAACAGTCACAAGCCGATAGCATGAAATCCCAAGGTTCGCGGGAATGCTATGGGACAGTCACAGGGATGGGGTTTGCTGAGGATGCTTAGGTCTGGAACATTTGCCACCTTTTGACCTTTCTGGGCCAACCCAAAGCCATAGTCAAAATGACTTAATTCGACATTTCCCTCCGCACAGGCTCAACGCAGTTTTTGAGGTTTTGTTAATGTATTGAGTAGTGACCACCCTACCACTGGCAATCATGGCTAAAGAATGTCCTGGTATTTGAATGCAGAATCCCTTGGTGTAAACTTGACTCCAAGTTTGTTGGGGAGTTGTTATAGTCAAAGGAATTGCTTCTTGCTACAGGAAACTGCAAGTCCCAATGTTCTCACGAAGTTTATCGGCCGCTCATGTCCCTTTTTTTGTGAGGCAACCAGTTTTTCCAACTGGGTTGCTACGTGCAAGTTCGGCCCTCAGTTCGGTGATTGTTGATGTTCGGCGGGGTTTTCCATAAAACAACATATCATATCCCTGCGTTTACTTAGGGTGGCGGCTCAGGAGGGTTGAAACTTAAAACGCTGGGAACACACATGCCGCCAGTTTCAGCAATATTTATGCATATTTGTGCCACCTTATTGAAATATCTTGAAATGTTGTCACACATTTTCAAAGTCAGCAGGTATGTGGCGGCAAAAACCAAATTCTTCATTTTAAAGCAGAGCTGCGTCCTGATGAACATTTAGGACTGATATTGGGTGTCTATGTCCATTGTGTCCGCTATTTCAATAGATTCATGCACAGAAAATCATCGCTGGCTGTGAGGCTTCGATGATGTACAGCGAGGTGCCAGATTTCTGGGTGCAGAATAGAGGTACCATAGTTATCCAGGTTTTTTCTGTTTCAATGAAACAACTGCCCATGGTCACCATGTTATTTGGTGGGCAACGCCTCAGCGTTCAGCTTTCAGGCTTTGGAGCTTCAACCTGGCAACACGGTCCTGTTGAACAACCGTGCAATGGCCTACCTGAAGCAGGTGACGGCATGTTCAGGGCCAAGTTTCAGGGGAGATTTCAGAATGATCAAATGGAATGAAATGGAAGAAAATCGACATGTTGTAAGTGTTTTTGTAAGTTGTAAGATATTGATTCAGTGCTGGTTGATTCAATTGGGAAATCATGGGAAATCCTACCGCCTTAGCTTCGCCCAGTGCCAAATTTCCCTTAGCTGAACGCCCCGATCCTCGTTGGAGGCGATGTTTCAGGAAGCCTTAGTCGATGCCAACCATAGCCTGTCTTTGGACCAGTCAAAGGAAAATATCAAGGCTGGGCAAAGGGGCTGTCAGAATACTGTCAGAATCCAGAAATATCCAGAACCTCTACATTCCTGATACAAACCTTTTCAAACATTTCTTTGGCCGTTTTTCCCAAAAGCATCTCCGATGCTTGGGTTCTCGTTTAGCTTGCTTCGCCGCGGGGGGAGCAAGACGGATGCGTCGACATCATGGACGGATAGCAGACCGTGGGAAATGGCTTGGGGAAAGCTCCGTTGGGAGGGAGCGAGATGAAAGCGTGGACGGACAGGAAACATCAGGAAACTGTGGGAAATAGGCTGGGGAGGGCTCACGGACAGGAAACCGTGGGAAATAGCTTGGGGAGAGCTCGTTGGGAGGGTGCGAGATGGAAGCGTGGACGGACAGGAGACGCTTGGGGAGAGAGCTTCGTTGGGAGGGGGGAGACGGAAGCGATCGGAAGCGTGGACGGACGGACAGCTTGGAGCGAGCTCCGTTGGGAGGGGGCGAAACGGAAGCATGGACGGACAGGAAACCGTGGGAAATAGCTTGGGGAAGAACTCCATTATACTCCATTGGGAGGGAGCAATGCTGTGAATGCAGAGCTGTTGGCAAGGGTTTTACAGGACAAATTCGACCAATGCGATTGT